TCTTCTTGTTCCATTCCTCTCTATCAGCCGTCATTTCCATACTTACTCCTTTTATTCTCATATCACTCTTCACACAATCGATCCATCTTTTATTCGGCCTTCCTCTGCCCGTGTGTCCCTCCACATTCATATTCAACACTCGTTTTGTGACATGACTTTCATCCCTCCGCATCACATGCCCAAACCATGCCAATCTGCTTCCTCTCACCTTTTCTACCACTGGCGCTACTTTCAGGCTTCCTCTTATATACTCATTCCTTATCTTATCCATCCTTGTCACACCACACATCCATCGTAACATTCTCATTTCATTCGCATGCAGTCTATTTTCATCTTTCTTCTTGACGGCCCAGCATTCACTTCCATACATGACGACAGGTCGGATGATCGATTTGTAAATTTTCCCATTCAGCCTTATTGGCATTCGGGGATCGCACGTTGTGGCTGTGACCTGTCGCCATTTCATCCACCCTGCGTTAATCCTATGCTGCACAGCTCTATCTATTCCGCCGTCGCCTTGAATGAGGGAACCGAGGTACTTGAATTCTGAGCAGGTAGGCAGTATAGCGCCATCCAACGACATGGGTACAGGACTGGAAAGACCGCCGAAATCACAGCACAGATATTCGGTTTTGGATCTGCTGATCTTCAAGCCAACACTTTCCAGCCTCTGTTGCCACCCCGTCAGTCTGCTTTGTACCTCGATGCCTTCTTCCCCGACAAGCACGATGTCATCGGCAAAGAGCATGCACCAGGGTGCCTCATCCTGCAGGTCCGACGTCAAAGCGTCCATAATCAGTAGGAAGAGGTAAGGGCTCAATGCCGACCCTTGGTGCAGCCCTACCGCCACATCGATACTGCCCGTAGTTCCCGCGGCAGATCGTACACATGTACGGGATGCTCTGTACATAGCACGGACTAACCTCACATACTTCCCAGGCATACCTTTCATCTTTAACGCCCACCACAAAACCTCACGGGGAACCCGATCGTACGCCATGTGCAGATTTTTATGCACGCGCTTGTACTTTTCGCACAATTGGCGTAATGCGAAAATGGCATCTGTCGTACCTCGACCGGGCATGAATCCGAACTGGTTTTGTGTTATCTCACACTCTTCTCTCATTCTTTTCTCTATTATTCTTTCCCAGACTTTCATCGTATGTGACATGAGTTTTATTCGCCGGTAACTGCTGCAGTTTTGAACGTCTCCTTTGTTTTTAAAAATGGGGACCAGTATACTACTGCACCATTCCTCAGGTATTTGTTCTTCCTGCAACAATTTACCGAAAAATAAACTCAACCACTTCCATCCATCCGCACTCAGCAACTTCCACACTTCTACTGGTATTCCATCTGGGCCGACCACCTTCCCATTCTTCATATTCCTAACAGCCATTTTTACTTCTTCCACACTAATTTCTCTCACTAAGCCCATATTCACTGGTGGGTTTTCAAGCATACCATTCCATTCATTCTCCTCATTCATCAATTTCTCAAAATACTCCTTCCATCGCTTCTTTATACTTTCATCGTCAGTCAAAATCCTTCCAGAATCATCTTTTATACATTTTACATGTGAAACATCTCTTCCATTCCTTTCTCTCGCTTTTGCAATTTGAAAAAGTCGTTTTTGACCTTCGGGGCTTTCAAGGGACCGATATAATTTATCTTGCGCCTCTGCCCTACAAATAGCAACTTCCTTCTTTGCTCTCTTCTTACATTCTTTATACGCCCCTCTCTTACTTTCTTTTATGGAATCATTCTGGTCTTCTACGCTCTGCCATTCTTTAAAGGCATTTTTCTTTTCTCTCAAAACTTCTCTAATACTTTCACTCCACCACCACCAATCCTTATCTATCATACGCTTCCCTTTTGTTTCTCCTAACACCTTCCTTGCCACACTTCGGATACAATCAGCCATTTCCTTCCAGCACTCATTCACACTCATTCCTTCCATATCACCCATCTCTATCATCTTGTTTACAACTAGCTCTCTAAATTCACTTGCATACTCCTCCTTAAGCGGGCTACATACGACACGATATCGGTGGCGATCTAGGGTGGAAAGAAATCGAGGCTTTTATCGGGGTAGACCTTACACACGGGCCTGCCTAGCAGTACGCGTTCGGACTTCGAGCGGAACGCATATGCGGTAGAGTTCTTCAAAATACCTCCGACTCTCTTAAAACACCACCGTGTTGGTTTGGCATTAGCCATCTCGGTTAATTTATTCGAAAATAGAAAAAGAGAAGTTGCTGGGTGAAAAAATGGCTCCAAAAAGAGATAAAAATTAAGCCACATAAACGTACTAAATGGCCTGTAATCCAAGGACGTGATTAATTTTCTCCGGATGGATGAAAACAGTTTTTATAACCTTCTAGAAATGATTTCGCCACTTATATAAAAACGTCAATTTCTCCTACCTATGCTATTTAGTTATTTCTTCTCTTTGTTCATTTCTGCTTTGGTCAAAATCTGGTTATGTATTACACACAACAAACAAGGAAATAAAATACTTTTGTATAATAATATGTATACTTTTTTTTAAATGTAATCTTTATTTATGGAGTAAAACTATCAGAAAATAAAATAGCTTATATCTTTTTTTAAACATAAAGAAACCTTTAATTTCGGACATACTCCCTTTTATATAACTTGTTTGTTGATGTGAAGATGGTGAAGGAGTAGAAGTTAGTTGTTGATAAGAGGATGAAGGCACGTAAGAGATCGAAGTGTGGTCTTGTGGAGTTGTAAGAGATATGAGTGCGGTCTTGTGTTGATAGCGTTGGAATAGGAGTTAGTTGTTGAGGAGAGGCTTTATCTTCTCCTTACTTACATCATACACTCTACTTTACGAACGGCAATAAAAAAATTAGTTTAGTAGGCATTCTTGACCATGTCACTTCGCCGGGTCACAGGCTAGGGTGGATATGATTTGAATTTCGATAAAATTTCAATTAATTTATTTATTTTATTCACTTTTTTTTTTGTTTTTTGTAAAATATCAGTGCCATAGGCTTCTACTCCGTTTATATGATTAAAATGTAAAAATTTTGTTATATAAAAAAGGTCATTCAGTATCAGTTTTGTTAACTTCTTTCCGCGAGGGCTGCCGGCAGCGACTGCCAAAAGAAATCGGGCCGATGCGCCTACACACACGCAGTAAGGAGGGGGCGGTGCCCCGATCTAGGAAGCATCGGCTGATCTAGGAAGCATTTTTGCTCCTGCCAGCCGATTAAGGAGGCGATATCGGCCACGACTTAGGATGGCCCTACATACGACACGATTTAGAGGCAATCTAGGAGGCATCCCCACTACTCCACCCTAGATCGCCACCGATATCGTGTCGTATGTAGCCCGCTTTAAGCGGGCTACATACGACATGATATCGGTGGCGATCTCGCCTCCTTAATCGGCTGGCAGGAGCAAAAATGCTTCCTAGATCAGCCGATGCTTCCTAGATCGGGGCACCGCCCCCTCCTTACTGCGCGTGTGTAGGCGCATCGGCCCGATTTCTTTTGGCAGTCGCTGCCGGCAACCCTCACGGAAGGAAGTTAACAAAACAGTGATACTGAATGACTTTTTTTATGTAACAAAATTTTTACATTTTAATCATATAAACGGAGCAGAAGCCTATGGCACTGATATTTTACAAAAAACCAAAAAAAAAGTGAATAAAACAAATAAATTAAATGAAATTTTATCGAAATTCAAATCATATCCACCCTAGCCTGTGACCCTGCGAAGTGACATGGTCAAGAATGCCTACTAAACTAATTTTTTATTGCCGTTCGTAAAGTAGAGTGTATGATGTAAGTAAGGAGAAGATAAAGCCTCTCCTCAACAACTAACTCCTACTCCAACGCTATCAACACAAGACCGCACTCATATCTCTTACAACTCCACAAGACCACACTTCGATCTCTTACGTGCCTTCATCCTCTTATCAACAACTAACTTCTACTCCTTTACCATCTCCACATCAACAAACAAGTTATATAAAAGGGAGTATGTCCGAAATTAAAGGTTTCTTTATGTTTAAAAAAAGATATAAGCTATTTTATTTTCTGATAGTTTTACTCCATAAATAAAGATTACGTTAAAAAAAAGTATACGTATTATTATACAAAAGTATTTTATTTCCTTGTTTGTTGTGTGTAATACATAACCAGATTTTGACCAAAGCAGAAATGAACAAAGAGAAGAAATAACTAAATAGCATAGGTACATAGGAGAAATTGATGTTTTTTATATAAGTGGCGAAATCATTTCTAGAAGGTTATAAAAACTGTCTTCATCCATCCGGAGAAAATTAATCATGTCTTTGGAATACAGATCATTTAGTACGTTTATGTGGCTTAATTTTTGTCTCTTTTGGAGCCATTTTTTCTCCCAACAACTCCTCTTTTTCTATTTTCGAATAAATTTACCGAGAGGGCTAATGCCAAACCAATACATTGGTATTTTAAGAGAGTTGAAGCTATTTTGAAGAACTCTACCGCATATGCTTTCCGCTCCAAGTCCGAACGCGTACTGCTAGGCAGGCCCGTGTGTAGGGTCTGCCCCGATAAAAGCCCCGATTTCTTTCCACCCTAGATCGCCACCGATATCGTCTCGTGTGTAGCCCGTTTTATGCAACAAATGCCACTTTATTTTGGGTGGGGGACGATCCTTATGTTTGTTGAGGCGAACAGTTAAGCAGATGTCAGCCAGCAGCCAGCAGAGGTACTCTGTGGTACTCTGTGATATATTGAAATTTGATAATAGGCATAGATTACTGTATATAATATACTAGAGATATCATACAACTTTATAATTTGTGGAGATGCTATTGTTGTTGTAGAAAGTTTCGTGTCGTGATTTTTGCTTATATTATTATTTTTTTGACAATAATAATACCTAATTTGAAATTAAATTTAAGGTATTATCAGCGTACACTAATTACTACCTTATGTAAATGGCATAACAGTTGGGTAAACAGTGAAATTCCTATCGAAATGTCGGAACCGAATTCTACTGTGCCATCTCCACCACCAAATGATAAAAATGAAAAAGATAAAAATAGACCGAAATTAAAGATTCTAGCTTTTCATGGATATCGTCAGAACGGTGCAATTTTCAGAGGGAAAATTGGTTCATTTAGAAAAGCTGTTTCTAAGTATGCGCAACTAACCTTCTTTTCAGCTCCTCATAAAGTTGTTAATGATGACGGAAGCGACGAAGGTACGATATTTCATAATTGAATTAAGCATTTATCACATAAACCAATTATGTTTAATGAAGTATAATGTTCTTATTGTTACTGTTGCTGATGTTAAAAAATTCAAACTGACATAGACAGATAATACAATTGTTCAATTTAAAATTATGGACATGTATATTTTACACTTAATAATTTTGTTTAGACACTAGATCCTGGTGGTTCAATGCAGAGGATAATTCCTTTAGTGGTAAATGCTTGGGTGGGCCTGCAATTGGATTTGAAGACACATTAAATTTAGTTGAGAATATAGTGGCAGAGTATGGACCTTTCGATGGATTTATGGGATTTTCTCAAGGAGCGTGCCTTGTTGGTATATTAGCTGCCATGCAACAGAAAGGATGTAAGTACCATTTGATTTATTACTGTCATAATTTTTAGATTTATTATTAATTTATGACTTATTAATCTATTTTTTGACATTGGCTTTTATAAGAACATACTGATTAATGTAATGAATGCATTAACTGGTATTTTACAACTCAGTTGAGCTAAGTTTTCACTTGGTGCAAAATGACATCACAACAAAAACATCCAGTAACTAAACAAATGAGAGACAAAAATTAAGACATACATATAGGTGGCAAAGATGCAATGTGTACTGACACAACTATATTATGAATGCAGGGTTGAAAGCAAAAAACACAAAGGGATTTTGCATTACAGTGAGGTGCAAACATAACTCAGTGATGTGTGTAGTGTGAGTGTAAAATTGAGGCTGACATTAATTTGCAGTTGGAAAAGTAGATTTATTTTACCTGGGTACTGCATTTCTTAAACAAAGTTAAAATGCCTTTAATATATGAACCAAAGCTAAATGCTCTGTGCAATTCTCTCAAAACCGGTGGTTCCCAATTAATTTGAGTAAGAACTCAAGCTTGCATACTCTACATAGCTGAAATGAAATATCAATTTTTGGCATTTATTAATAATTCAACAGTTTTGGTAATAATAAAAATCACATCCATTCTTGTAGTTCATGGAGAAAAAATTTGTACATTTTTCTTTGCACAACTATGAAAATTCTGGTTGCTTTTGTGAGTCCTTCTAAGTCACTATTGAATTGATTTAGTTAAGACATTATCGTTGCCTTAGTCAAGAATGTAGCCCTTTAAGCAATATTTCATACTCCTCATTGTACACAATCCACTTATTGGGTACTACTGCTCTGGACCATTTGATTAATTACAATGTATTTATTCATTTTTATTGATTTTAAAGTTTTATAATATATTGTGCACTTTGTTACAGATTTACCATATACATTTCAGTTTGCAATATTTGCATCTGGATTTAGATCAGGTAGCTTGGTTCACAAAGGATTCTACGATGAGGATATCAATCTGCCATCATTACATGTTTATGGAGAAAGTGATTCTATTATACCAAAAGGTATATTTTTAGTAAATAATATGTAGATAGTCCAATAATTTAAGCTTTTCTACACTATCTCCTTCTTATGTGGTAGAGCCATGCTGCAGCTATACTAGTAGTATAGTTGTAGCACAAATGGGTCAGCTCGACCGCGGAAGGACCATACTCTCACAGAATACTAGTGTAAGATAACATTTGGTGGTAATGTCAAAGACATTAGAACAAACACCTAAAAAAAACTGCTTTCTGGGTGTGTTTGCCTAATGTCTTTATGCCAACATCAGTTTTCCCAGAACACTTATATTTGGGTCTCTTTTATGCAAGATTGAATAAGCTTTTTCTAAATTAACATCTTACTGGTACAGTTAAAGTCCACTGCTGAACATAGGCCTCCCCTATAGATTGCCTCGTAGGGGTGATGTTTGCCATAGTGCAGGTTGACAACTGCAATTTTTTATTTTTACTTGTTATTAGGAAGACACTGCCGCCCATCACCTGCTTTATTTCCCTATGTCGTCTCTTAAGACACCCACGGCGTGATATAATAGTAAAGTAAAGTAACAGCCTATATACGTCCCACTGCTGGGCACAGGCCTCCCCTCATTTCTGAGAGGGTTTTAGGGCACGGAAGTGTCCGCCGCGCTCCCCAATGGGTGTTGGCGAACTTCACATCATCATCATCATCCTCATTACAGCCCTTCACAAGTCCACAGGAACTTCACATGTCTTCGAAATATTTTTTCATATTCCTCAGACGTGCAGGTTTCCTTACGATGTTTTCCTTCACCGCCGAGCACGTGGTAAAGCAGCACTTAAAATTGCAATTAACAATTTCATTGGTGCCGGCGGGGATCGAACCCGGGTTACTCGCATTCTGTTATATTTGCAGCAAGCATTAACCATCTGAGCTACCACGGCTCATATGCGGTATAAGAATATCACGGCGTGATATGGCGTAGTAGATATTCTTACATACTTACGTAGTATATATTCTTACACCGCCACTACTTGCTTGATCAACATCTTGGTCACAACTTGATATCAGGCAGGTTTTTTCATTGAATAAAACTATTATTTACGGATTTTATCGCGTTTAATTACTTTAATTTATTTTTATTATTATCCCGACGTGTGGGTGCTTTACAGCGCCCATGGTCACGGGGGGGACTGAGATGTTTGACGTCCCAATGTCATAGTTAGTCCGGCTACCTTCAGTTTTTTAATTTTAATTTTTGGTCCGATTTACGCAAAACGAGCTTATAGTATCATGAAGTCTTGCAGTGGTATGCTTGGGTTTGGGTTTAATTTTGTTAATTATAGGATCCCAAGCAGATGGTAGCACCCAACCATCTTCTCTATTGAAATTTGGATGTTTTTTAATTTCAATAGCCTTGCGTATCATCCTTGGTAGGAATCGGTGTTCTTTTGCGAGAATTTGTGGTTTATCAAATCTAATGTAATGGTGGGGACGATCTTGAACATGTTCGCAGACTGCAGACTTCCCGGAGCGTCGGTGCTTCACATCAGCTATATGTTCCTTCACGCGGGTTTTTATAGATCTCTTTGTTTGACCTATGTAAGAGAGACCACATTCACAATCTAGCTTGTACACACCTGCATCTTGTAGAGGAATATTACATTTGATGGATGGTGAAAATTGACTAATCTTCTTCAGCGGCTTGTAGTATGTCTTAATGGACGCTCGCTTCAAGATGTAGCCAATCTTGTCCGTGACTCCTCTAGCATATGGTAGTAGAGCAGGCGCGCGCTCGACTGTGGCCGGCTTCACTCGTTCACTGTGACGTAGGCGCGGGACCCGAAGCTTGTTGTCTTGCAATACTTGCTTGACGTGCTGAAGTTCCGCGGCCAGATGTTTTCTGTCACAGATCCCTCGTGCTCTCTGAAACAAAGATTTACCCACGGTAGCTAACTGTGAAGGATGATGGTGAGATTCACCATTTAAATATCGGTTGGTATGGGTCTTTTTCCTATGCACAGTGTGACCAATAGGGTTATCAGGATTTCGGATGACTAAAACATCTAGGAAAGCTAAAGAATTATTTGCCTCTAACTCCATTGTGAATTGTATTTTAGAGTTTATGGAGTTAAGGTGGTCTAAAAATGCAGTTACTTTGTCAGATGGTAAAATTGTGAAAGTGTCGTCTACGTACCGCTTGTAGAACCTTGGATTTACAGGAGCAGTAAGAAGGGCTTTCTCCTCAAAGTCCTCCATGAATATGTCGGCGACTATGGGAGACACAGGTGAGCCCATCGCCACACCATCTACTTGCTTGTAGAACTCCTCCTTCCACAATAGATAGCCAGATGTGAGGCAATGTTCAAGTAGTATTGCATATTCTTGAGGCATGTTATTTTCTTCTAGCTTCCTAGTTACAATTGAGATGCAAGTCCACAATAGGTAGGCATGTAAATAGTGACTGAACATTAAAACTGACCATAGTTTCATTGTTAGCGAGATGTAGGTCTTTTATCTCACTCACAAAATGGTATGAATCCTTTGTGTGTGCTCTGGTATGTCCTCTTAGTGGTGATAGTATTTTTGCTATGTATTGTGCCAGCTTATAAGTTGGTGAATCGATCTGGCTCACTATGGGACGTAGTGGAGCGTTTGGTTTGTGTATCTTCGGTAACCCATACAACCTTTTTTCATAATAATCTCTTATATTTACGTGAACACTACACATTTAAATAATACTAGTTTTTACAGATTTTATCGCGTATATTTAACTTTTTAAACACCCGATGTTTCGAGCACTTTACATCACCCATGGTCACGGGGGAGACTGAGATGTTCAATGTCTAGATGTCATAGTTTTCATTCCTGACGCTATTTTAAGCATAGGACAAATAAAGTAAAGATACAGCCTGTATATATACTATATAAATTTTATGCAATGATAGTGAATAGTATGTGTGTAATATTTTATTGTGCAATATCAACACAATTTAATATATTTTTTCAGAAATGAGTGAATCTTTAATAAATTTATTTAACAAACCATTAGTAGCTGAACATTCTGGAGGACATTATGTTGCTTGTTCTGGTTCTATCAAAGATGCATACCTTGATTTCTTGCATGAAAGGTATCAAGATATAATAGAAGAAAATAAAAACGAGGATGGAAGAACTTCATAGTTCGAACTCTTTAATTAATTGATGATAATATAATTATTTTTAAGTATTAAATACTGAATTTGTACAGAATAAAGAAATGATAGTCACAAAATAATTGTCTCATTCTGATACCCTATTATTTATGTACTTGTATTCTCATAGTGGTGTTATAATAAAATTCATTAACCCATGACCGTTTGAAATAGACCGGTGAAGGTAAGCATCTTTAAATTATCATCAAGATAACCGGTACTGCGATCACCGATTCTCCTGCCAAGCGTGGAGATGATGGCAAATCTCTACTATGAAAGAGGCTCATGTCCAAAGATGGACTGATGATGATGAAGAAGTCTCATAGACGGCTGGTTGTCTTACAAAACTAGATCGCATACATACTGTACTCTCCTGCATCAAGCAAGAAAGCATGATTGTTAATGTGGTCTGTTATATAGGACAAACTAAAGATAAAAAAACCCGCGTAAAAGCATGTATATATAGTGTACATGCTGTACGCATCAAGTAAACAGTAACTTGAAAATAAGTACTTAATATTATAAAAGTTTCTATGCTGCTGATGTAAAGATCGATGCTCCGAGAAGTCTGCATTATGTAAACATGTACAGGATCAACCCCGCCATTATATCAGATTTGATATGGAATACCAGCCATCTTCTCTGTGTGTGCTGTGCAGGTGCATTTAGAGGCCGCGAAGGAAAGCGCGTCTTGTGTTCCGGTACGACTTATCTATGAAAGAAAGGGGAGGAGTCTTCCTTTCCCAATGAAGTTGGAATTCCAAGGGGTTTTAGTTGGTACCTGTCCGACATAACCCGCCCATGCCCCGTGAGCCGGTTATGCGTAGGCTAGGCATGTTCCCATCATCGAGTTGTTTTGTCCATTTAGGCGCCTTAGGAACTTGAGATAGGTACTGTTTTCCGTATATACATTTTTAATTATGGATACTGTCGGCAACCACCGCCTTATAAAATTCCGAGCATCGCTCTCTACATAGCTCGTTGAGCGATCTTGAGCTTCCTCACATGGCCAGCAGTGAAAGACCACGTCTCAGATCCATAGCTCATCACTGACAACACGCACTGCTTGTACAATCTAGTTTTGAGGTATGCCTGACGAGAAGATGTGTCGTAATATCCCGAACGTTGCTCAGTCGAGTTGAATACGTCGATTGACCTCTCGGGCGAAGTTAGACTTACCTAGTCGGACTATTGGTCTCAGATAAACATACTCGTTAACAACTTCGAGCTTAGTTCTCCCAACAACCCGGCATAGGTGTGACACAGACTACACATGACCTGTCCATGTTCATCTTAAGACCTATCCGTTGGGAGATACTTTTGAGGTAATTGAGCATAGTGCTTAGGTCCTCAAGCGATTCTGCCATGAGGACTATATCGTTGGCAAATCGAAGGTGAGTGATGTACTCGGCATTTCTATATACCGATAGTTAACTTGGCACCGCTAAGGGGACTGCAGCACCGCCCAAATTTCGACGAAATCAAAGGCTTTCCAATGGTCAGACGCAAGGCAAAGTGGCAGATTGTACTCTTTGGACTTCTGTACAATTTGCCAAAGGGTATGTATGTGGTCTATGGTGCTAAAGTTTTTTCGGGAACCGCCTTGTTCGGGAGGCTGGAAGTTGTCGAGCCTACGTGCGAGATGATTCGTAATGACTCTCGAAAACAGCACGTAGACGCGGCTCAGATGGGAAATTGGTCTATATTCTTCAAGAGAGCCTTGTCATCTTTCTCAAAGAACTAGACCACCGCACTCGACGCCTCCGGAGTAGTGTTACCATAGAGAACGGAATTGAAGAGCTTCTGAATTACTTTTAGTATCGGTTTTCCACTCGCTTTCAGAAGCTCTGCTGTAACTCTATCCTCGCAAAAAGCGGGAATTTGCCGTTTTTAAGGTACGGGAGAGCCATCCTAATCTCGCTCAGACTGACGTCCAAGATTTCATCAGAATTGTGTCGTTGTAGCTATAGCACCTCATCTGTTGGTAGGTGGTGATGTAGCTTAGAATAATGAAGCGCACTGACTTACCAAAAGCCTATTTACCCTTGCCATGATGACGTCCACATTATAACTGGATCTATAGACAGATGCTGGCAACTTATTTCAATCATTTGTTGTACGCATGACGAACGGTGAAACAAACCGATGGTTTCGAATCTTACCAGCGAAGTGAATGGCGCCGAAGGCTTAAGAAAGCTGACCCCGCGTAACGGGAAGAGGCGAGGACAAAAAAGACGAAGACAAGAAGAAAAACTGAACGAATTAACTATTACTTTGACATCTGTCTGACTAAATATTTAATAATAATTAATTGCTATTTTGTTCTGCTAGAGGTTAAGTTGAAATCAAAGAAAATACGAAACTAACACTTATTTTATTACGATATTTACAGTATTGCGGCAGTTAAATATTCTAACACTTTTCTTGCACAACTAATGGGAACCTAATAGGGAGCTTGAGGGGTCTTCTATCTTGCTTGTTTGTTGTTTTGCTTGTCTTGATGGTTGGGCTGCCACGAATGAAAACCCCGTTTTTTTGCGCCCAGAAGTAAATCAGGGCTACCCTCCGGTGAACGGGGGAGGGAGGTGGTGAATGCTCATAGGTATACCCTGCAGCCGGCTGCGTGGTTATGTAGAGACTTTTACCCACTAAACACCACCTGTGAGACTGGCTTATTGACCTAGCGAGAGATCTTTTAGCCGTATCTGACGCGACCCCCCCTTGGGTGAAAGGGGTGCGCAAGCGGCTAGTAGCTGCTTAGAAGTGTGCCTAACAAAGGAACTTTACGAGATGAGTTGTGGAGGCTCGACCTGAGCTGCCAGGAGGCAGTTTAGGTCGGCCGAAAACTTGTTGGGGGGGATCCGAGAGAGTTTCTCGGCCTGCGGACACTATAGTGGGTGCAAAGTGGGACTGCATAGGAAAATGGCTTGTGAATGAGGCGATTTTTGTGGAACTCTGAGGCTTTGAAGTATTTCTCAGAGAGTGATTTCTAGAATTGCTGAATTGTTGGGAGCTCTAAGTCTCGGTGGACGTCGGCGTTAGCGGCTATCCGGATGGCTTTCGTCATCTGGTAGTACGCTGTATGAGAGGGGGAGATATTCTCCATGAGATTGTTCTTTTCGAGGTCTCTAAATTCAAAAAGGCGTGAATAGAGTTTACGTCGGAGGCGGCGGCCGTACGTCTGTATTCGGGGATGGGATAGAGAGCAGCATTCTCCTTAAGTGGTGAGATTTTCGACCGCGGTGTTCATTTTCCCCGTACTGTCGAGGATGTCGGAGGAGAGGGTACTGGGAGAGTCCGGAGAGTCCATAGCTGAGTCTAGGGACTCCCTGAAGCTCTTCCAGTTGGTGTAGGTTTTGGAAGAGGGAGGTGGAGGAGGTGGTTGATGGCCTAGGATGAGGGATACAGGACGGTGATCGCATCCTAGATCATCGAGAGTCACGATTGCTCTAAGGTTGAGGGAAACTACTTACTAGAGCAAAGTCCAGCACGTCAGGAGCATGGTCGACATTGTCGGGAAAGTGGGTGACAGGCGGAAAAGACACATACCTGAGGGGCACGGGGGTAATATTTATATCAAAGTCGACTTGGCTGAAGTCCATGGTAGACATGTTGGGTGGACAGGGGGTGGGGTTGACTTTTATTTCCGAGAAACAGGGGTTCTTATTCTGAAAAGAACAAGGCCTTATTCTCAAAAGGACAAGAGACGTTATTCCAGAAACAACTACACAGATAAATATAACAGTAACAGTTATAACAAAAAACAATAACAAGAAAAACAAATAAAACAATAACAAGTAAGCAGCAAAACGCCCAGATCTCCCCGCCGAAGCAGGGGGGCAAGAACGGTGTGAAAAAACAAGTGACTCACCGACGGCGACAGCTCGGCCGGTGTGAGCGTGAGAGCGGAAGCGCGTGAGCCAGAGGGGGCACTGCTGTACGGCGACGGAAGCGCGTACTGTTTACACGACCGCTGGGGAGCGGTGCGCAAACGGAACTGAATGGGAAAATCCCGTTTTTTTTTTTGCGCCCGAAGCAATTAAAGGGCTACCCTATACGTAGGGAGGCGGAAAATGCATTACGCATACCACGATAGCCGGTCTATCGTGGTTATGAGGGGCTCACTGTCCTACCGGGGACCCTAAGTGATACCCTCTAAAAACCACCTTTGGGGACAGGCAACCGGCTGATTAAGCTCTATTGTGCCTTATCATGAGCGACCCTGTTTTGGGAAAAGAGGGCGCAGGCGGCTAAGTGCCGCTGAGGGAGTGCTACGAAGGCAAATTAATGTTAGTTATTACAATAATTTTATTTAATTAGAGTTGGCCTGAGCCGCCAGGAGACAGTTCAGGTCGTTTGAAAGTTTATTAGGCGGGTCCGAGAGAGAGTTTCTCGGCCTGCGGACACGATAGCGAGAGGGGGGGTGGGGCTGCATAAGAAGCTGCCTCACGAATTAAATGGTTTGGGTGCGACTCTGAGGCTTTGAAGAAGTTGTGAGAGAGTTTTTTAAGAAATTGTTGAATTGTTGGGAGCTCTAAGTCCCGATGAAGGTCGGCATTACGGACGTACCAAGGTGCGTTCGCAGCTCGACGACAGAAGAGGTTCTGAACTATTTGGAGTTCATTTAAAATATTAGGGTTTGCGTGGACAAAGACGGGGCCCGCGTAGGAGACGGGGCCCGCGTAGGATGACGGGACGACCGCTGGGGAGCGGTGCGCAAACGGAACTGAATGGGAAAATCCCGTCGGGAGCGCTTCTTTTATAGCCACTGTCGGAGTCGCGGAGGCACCGAGTTGGTATAAGCGCTCGTCCTTGCAGGGCCTTACTCTGATGCGGAGTGCGGGAGACGTGTCGAAGCGGGTGCGGTGCGGGGTGACGGGTGGTTTCTTCCTCGCCTTCCATAACACCTCTGTTCTCGAGTGCCTTGCTATATTTGTACGAAGCATACTCTAGAAGGTCCAAACTCTCCTAAAATATGTTATTATATATAATTTTCCGTAAATTTGACTCGGGCCAAAATACAATTTGACGAGTCCATTTCCAAACAAAGGAACTACAAAACTTAGAAAAAGTAGTTAAGTACACACTCTTTAAGCGAGGGTTGACTCGTGGGGTTTTTTTCTCCTGTCCTTTAATACAGACAACTGGAACATTATTATCAGCCCCGGTCCATAGTAATTATATAACCAGGACACCGACCCCAAGCCATGATCAGGGTAGAGCGAGCTTGTCTTTTGGTGCCCTGTGGTTAATGTTTCTAAATCAGATAAATTGTATTTCAACAAATAATAATTATCAACATACCCAAAAAAGGCCTTTGTCTGCGTCCACGAAATGCCTCATACTTTAGCTGGCCTTTCAAAAGGCGATATTAAATTTATATTTTTCGCTCAAATTTGTTTTTGGCATTTTGCATTTTGGCATCACTTCGTGCTTAGAGTGAGCGCTCCTCTCGTTCTACTGTAGGGCTGACGCTGACCATATCTCCCTTCTGGTGGAGTCCTGTATTATCGTATTAATAATGGCATAAAGTTTATTGTAATACGTAAAAGAAGTGTGTGATATTGTGGATTATATGTTTGTTGCGCATGATAACTATTAATTATGGACTATATATTATAAACTTTGAATAAGTACCTCGATGTTAAGTTATGTCTCAAGAATATGTTAAGATTTTGAGATTCATGCTGCAGCTATATTAGTAATACAGTTGTAGCACGAATGGGTCGGCTCAACTGGAGTAGGAACATGTTTTTTCAGAATGCCAACGTAAAATCGCAGCTTAACGCTGCTGTTTCGTATGGTAAGTATACAGAACTGGATATCCTTTTTACTGGAAAAGAGGCGTTCTATCTTAATCCTCACGAATGATAACGCATTTGCATTTTGATTCGAAATCGAGGATGTCCATGGGCTACAGGAACTACTTACCACAAACTGATAAGAAGTGCTAGCGTACTACGAGGGCGGCACTGAAAATTTCGGGAATCAAGGAAGTGACACAACATTACTATTTAAAAATGTATTTATTGGTTTTCGAAGTATTCTCCGCGAAATTTGACACATTTTTCCATACGATGGAACCAATCATTGTAGCAACCATTAGGTGAATGGCCGTTTTGTAGGCGACCACAGCTTCTTCAGGTGATGAAAATCTCTGTCCACGCAATTTATTCTTTATTTTAGGGTGGTTGCGCGGAAAAACCATTCGTATTTTTATTTTATTCGAGGGTATGCTTGCCAAGGTTGTCGGGACAGTCGCGTCCTAGAGGGCTCTTGCCCACGCGCACCGCTAGTTTCCAACCGCACCACCTGGAGCAGTCGAGCTCCAAAAGTAACCGCCTCACCTAGTGAGATATCGTCGCGCACCGCTCTCTTCCATCGCACCACCGACCAGGACCGCATCCCTGGGGCCCCAGGAGATCCGCCAGAAATAGCACCGCAGCGTCCAAGCCGCATCGAAGTCACACCCCGGTAAGTGTTCTTCTTCCTTATGACGCCTGCTTGAGTATTTGTGTTTTATTAGTTAATCCGCCCAATTTCATTTCTCCTAATGTGATCAAGCAGGATTCCTTCATAAACCTTGGCAAGCAATAGGTTTTTTTTTGGAAGAGCGAGTGCATTGTCAAGGAACCGCATGTTACAGCCGCCATTTTGTTGAAGCAGAAGAAGCCAACCGCGTATACAGTCCATCTAGTATAACATCTCGCGTAGTAGGGTCAAGGCTCGGCCGGGGAATTGTGACTCGGCAACCTTAAGGCCCGCCGCCCAACCATAGGGAAAGTATAGAAATCATTAGGGCTTAGGTTGGGGCTGTACGGCGGATGGTCTAATAATTCTATGTTTTCTTGCTCTAAAAACTCTTTTGTTCTGTGTACGGTGTGAGAACTCGCATTGTCGTGATGGAGGATGATGCAGCGGTTGCAGTTCTCTTTACGGAGTTCAGAAACGAGCTGTGGCAAACAAATGCTAGCATACCATTCTGCATTAACCGTTCCTTGTCCCTCAAGAGAAATAGTCGTAACATGGCCGGTTTTGGAGACAAACGTGGCCACCATTTTTTTTGCAACACTCCGTGAACGAACAATTTTTGTTGGCTTTAACTCATTTTTGAACACCCAAACTCGTGAACGGTTTTTGTTTCGGGTTCGTACGCGTATATCCAGGATTCGTCACCTCACAGAGCGAATGTGGTATCCATCGGGAAAACAACTTTTTTACACCTAATTGTTCATGCAAGATTATTTGTATTTGACTCATGCCAATGTCCAAAGTTGCTTGAATTTCGCGATATGTCACATGTCGATCTTCCTCAATCATCTTACGCACAGGCGCACAGCATCAACATTTTCTTGGGTGACTGCAGTTTTTGGCCGACCTTGACGGGGATCATCACTGAGCTTGACACGTTCACGTTGAAATTCAGAAAACCAGCGATATTGTGGTTTTGGATGGGGCTTCATCACCAAATGCAGAAATCATCCGGTCAACACATTGTTTTTGTGTTAAACCACTTCGAAAGTCATAATAAATTATCGCTCTTGAATTTTCTCGAGTCAACTCCATTTTCTCAACGACTAAAGAAGTTTGACAAAACCTTGTGTCAAGACCGAGAATCTTTTTCTTAAATAAATAAATGGTATTTGATTTTTAAAACCAAGGAGTTTTTAATTAAAAATATTTTAATATAACAGAAACAGTGGAAATATTCCATTCCCGATACTTTTAGTGCAGCCCAGTACTTATCATCTGGTGTACTGAGTATCCGTTTGTCACCCTTATCCCTTAAAAATTATAAATTTTTATAAGACGGATAGTCGATACTGTCGTTATAGACTGAGCTAAATGGTCGTCAAAATCTTCCAATACCTACACAATGCGACACATACCATGGACGTATCATATTTTGCCTATCAGACAAGGCTGTGTGGGCATAGATTTCTTTGCCTTATATCTTTCAAATTATAAATAATAATAAAAAAATGAGGTTATGTTTATTTTATTGTATATAAACATATAGTTTAAAAAATTTTTTAAATATTATAACTAGTGTATTTAAAATGTGGCGTCGTTATTTAATGTGGTTTGCGCACGAACATGTCGATTTTAGACATGCTGTAAGTTAAAGATAAATAACTGCTAAGAAATCAAATAAGCACTTAATTCAAAAATAAAAACATTTTATATTTCAGGAAATGCAAAGTATTCTTTCTATGTTTGATATTCCAATAAAGTTTATTGAAAAACCGTCTGTCAAGAAACCATACTGGATCGTAGAATTACCGTCGGAAGATCATGTAAAAAAAATCGCCTCAAGATCTGTTCTTGTTAAAAATTGTATTGAATTATGGTCCTATGCAGAATGTGAAGCTCAATTACATGACAATTTAAAGAATGCTATCAAAAACACATCAGGGCAATGGGTATCTCCACTTGCTTCTGATGATAATGGTTTAACATATTCCCACATCTGTCCAAGTGAACTAATTGCAGCATGTTGTGATCCAAAGAAGTCATTTAAAGTGGATGTAGAAACCTTCTGTAAGCATTTCTCTATGAAAGAAAAGGTTGATAAAATTGAGGTAATTATTATTTTTAATTCTAAAAGAACAATAGCCAAATCCTAATAGTATCTGACTTTTATCTTTCATGTAAAATACAAATTATAGTGAAAATATACTGTTTTGATGTAGTAAACATCATTCTGTATGAAAGTCACATCTCTATACCCAAGATAAATTCTGTGACCTGGTGCTAAAAGGGCCAAAGTATGCTTTTATTAAACAGTACACAGTAGCACATATTATATTTTATTAAACAGTATGGAAGTACATATTACATTGGCCTTTTTACATAGTATTTTTTGAAAAACTATCAATAAACATATGCCCTTTTTGCACAAACAAATTTCATACTTTATCAATAATATTTAGGCTTTAAAATCTCATTTCTTTAAAAAAAAAAACATACTTTGACCCTTTTACCACCAGGTCACAGAATTAATATTGTAAGATATAATTTTGAGGTTAGATCCAACAATAATTACAAATAGGTTGACTAATTCTATTTGGAACAATTTTATTTTATTTAATCTATACAATGTACTCATACATATGTATGTAATCTGATGATACTGATAAAAATAAGAACTATTCATCATAAAAGCTTGTACATTTAAATTGATTGCATAGTTATTGTGTGTAATATTATTTTATACAGCATACCCATTATGTAGCAATGCTCGGGAGAGCCTATGTTCGGCATTGGACTTGTTCAGGGCTGTAATGATGATCCCTCTAATGATCTTAATCCTTCTCTATATATTGAACCAAATTATTATTTGTAAATTGATAAAATGATTTCTTATGTGTATGTGAATACTATACTTTGAATAAAACTACTTTTGAAGACTATCAGGTTTAATAACACTTATTTTAATTCCCGACGCTTTGAGTGCTTTGCATGGCCCCCGTCATTTACATAAGATTTGATAGATCACAAATCCTAGTGAAAGTACATCGTTTCCTACCATGGGCGATATGTAAGGCTATTGAAATTTAAAAATATCCTAATTTGAATAGAGAAACCAAATATACCACTGCAAGACTTCAAGATACAACAAGTTCATTTAGTGTAGATCGGACCAAAAGTAATAATTAAAGAGCTAAAGGTACTCTGGATTAACTTTGATGTCTGAACATTAATCACCTAACTCCCCTGTGACCATGGGAGCTGCAAAGCACCTAAAATATCAGGAATGAAAAATAAGTGGAATTAAATGTGATAAAATCCATAAAGTAGTTAGTTATATTCAATATCAGAAGTCATGCTATAATCATATAAAAAAAGGAAACAATGGGATTCTTTTTGTTTTTAAAGTAGTTTAACATGTCGTTTTAAATTATATTATAATTTTTGATTTTGATTGAAATTTCTTTATACAACATGTAACAAAACCCCACATATTATGTTGTATAAAGGTAAAAGTATTCAAAATTTTTGATCACAAATAAATATTATAATTCACAGAATTTTAGTTATCTTCCATTTGAGGGGCCAGTGAAATTAAAGAATCCAGACATAACATTGTCTTACCTTGAATTCTATGGTGTTGATCCAAACAATGTACCTGAACAGCCTTATGAGGTGTTTTTTGGAAGATGGGTATGTAATATTTTTAAATTATTTTAAATTATGATAAGTAGTAATTTTTTTTTAAATACTAGCAATGCCACTAACATTACTAATGTTAGTGGCATTGCTAGTAGCTTAAATTGCTTGTGTTAGGAATGATTCATGACAGTAGTCCAATGGTGGGCTTGAACCTACAACCTTTGAAGTTCGCGGCCTACACCCTTTTTGTATAGAATAAGGGTGACAAATGAGCATACAGTCCACCTGATGGTAAGAGGATGCTGTGGCCCATTGATATCTACATTTATTTGCGATTAAGAATCAAAACCCAGATGTGTTGTCACCCCTATGGACTAAGATGCAATGCCTCGTTTCCAGTAAAAAAGGCCTCCGGATCTCTACAGTCATCATACAAAACACAGCAGTATTAAGCTGCTATTTTACACTAGTATTCTGTGAGAGTGTGGTCTTTCCCCATTCGAGCCGACCCATTGCTACAATGCTACAACTGTAATATAATTGCAGCATGACTCTACCACATATAAAACCCGCCATTAGGCTACTGTTGTTTGTACTGGAATATGCTTTTTTACTGTGGATGGTATGAGGAAGCTTGAAAGTTGATCAGTAAGATTTAGAGAGAGCTTCACTTTATTATGCTGCTTGATAGTTAATGAAAACTAAATGTAGTAAAAACATTGTTAATGAAAATACTTAGAAAGGAACATAAGTAATCATGAAACATTTCAAAATAGAGCTAGGAAAAAAGTAATGTTACTATGTTTATTATTCTCATTAGACCTTTGCAGACGGAACATGTTTTACAATGGCTCAAAGACCCAGAAGCCATGCCAATAATTTTTCAAAAAAAACAATGTGTTTTACACGTTACATTTCACACTTTATAAAATAATCAAAATAACCTATTGGTTATTTTTTACATAACTTATTAATTTATGATTAGATATGATTTTTTTGGTTTTATATTATGGTGTGGAAAGAAAAATAAGTGTACAGACCTTAATATGTGACACCTGTTATCACCTCATAACTTATTTACTTAATAGCATTTTTGTATGGCCTTCAAATGAAAAGATTTATTTTTATAGCATTGGGTGACAAACGAGCACACAGTCCATCTGATGGTAAGTGGATGTTGTGGCCCATAGATATCCACATTTATCCTCAATTAAATCAAAATGCAAATGCGTTGTCACCTCTGTGGACCAAAATGGAATGCCTCGATTCCAGTAAAAAGGGTCTCCGGCTCTCTACACTCACCATACGAAACACAGCAGCGTTACACTGCTATTTTACACTGGAATCCTGTGAGAGCGTGGTCCTGCCCCGGTCGAGCCAACCCATTCCAGCAACATCTATAATATAACTGTAGCGTGGGTCTACCACTTAAAAATGATACCATGTAAAGATGATAAGTTATTATGTTATTATAAACAATAATAATTTTTATGCAACACTAGTTTTAGGTAGATGCAACCTGTTAAACGAATCAAGTGACAGGTCAATCAATGTATGGAAAGTGGGCATTATTATTTATGTAATCCATAATTTTAGAATAATTGGACTGGTCCTAATAATTAAACCTTATCAGAAATGAGAGGAGGCCTGTGACCAGCAGTGGGACGTATAAAGGCTGTAACTTAACTTTTTTGTAACTAATAATTTATTTTGAATATAGATAGCTGATGGCCAGCGTGACCTCATCCAACGGCACTCGCTAAAACAACGCCAGTTTATTGGCAACACAAGCATGGATGCGCAGCTTTCTTTGATCATGGCTAACCAGGCTCAGGTGTGTATGGGATAATAAATGGTCTGCTATGGTGCTAAGCACACAGAAAACATCACAATATTGGAGGTAAATAAGTAGGAAGATATAATAAAACAGTATACAGAAGGAAGAATTTTCACAACTAGATAGCACTATATTAGGCGAGTAAATTTAGCTATAGGGTTATCAAAAAAGATGCAAAAACATAGGACTTGAGAAATTCAGGAGAAAAAAGTAGACATTATTAACAATTTTTAATTAAATTAGTACATGCTCTATTTCTTCTTTCAATTTGACATTCATGACTTATAAAATTCTTTCCGTAATACTTACTTGTTCCAGACTTCCAATCACCGTCAATATAAAAAAGCGCGACAGTTGAATTAGAGATTAAAATATATTATTTTTCATATTATATTATTTTTCTATCATTTATAGTACAATTGACAAATATAGTACGATACTATATATTATAGTACATGTGGCAACCCTAGCTTAGCTATCGCGTGCAACACGCAATTCTCATTTGGATGAACTGGACAATCTGACATACTGTAGGCACAGGCGCAACGTCCTAGCCGGTTTTACATTTATCGCGATGTCACTCATATTAATTATAAATATATAGAAATGCATGACGCGTAACGTAACGTATGGTTTTTTTTATAGAATAACGGTGACAAACGAGCACACAGTCCACCTGATGATAAGTGGATGCTGTGACTCATAGACTACATTTATCCTCGATTAAGAATCAAAACGTAGATGCGTTGTCACCCCTGAGGACTAAGATGGAATGCCTCGTTTCCAGTAAAAAAGGGTCTCCGGATCTCTATGCTCACCATAGGAAACACAGCAGTATTGAGCTACTATTTGACGCTGGTATTCTGTGAGAGCATGGTTCTTCTCTGGTCGAGCCGACCCATTCGCGCTACAAACATAATGTTGCGCGCCTAAGTTGACGTCATGTTGTGTCAGGGACGAGAGCGAGGGGAACTTTCCAGAAAATGACATCACTAATCTTTCAACCGACAGCGCCATCTAGTGTCGAAACGAAGAAATAAGCTTCTAGTAGCCGACACTCAACTTTCGACGCCTTGCGCGTATTTACTTGAATGTTCTAGATGTTTCGGTGCTAATGTGTATTTATAGGCGCTGCAGAGTGCGATCGGGCAAGTATTGAATTCGGCGAGACAAGCGAAGCTTCGGAGCGAAATAAAGTGAATCAGTGTGATTAATTATTGGTGTTTTAAGTTTAATTAGTGTAAAGTGAATTAAAGTGTTAATTTTGGTAATTCAATCGGCAGTTTTTAATTGTCACGAACCCTAAGCTCGTAACAATTGGTGTCAGAAGTGGGACCAAATCATTTTACCGAAGGAGGAATCGAAGGGTGTCCGTACCCGAAGTCAACGCCAGCAGGAGACGGACCAGAGGAGGTTTGGTGGTGCAACGCCACAGACGTCGGAGGGCCAACTGCCAGCCACGGAGGCTGCGGGGCCGTCAGTAGCTCCTACATCTGCAGCACCTGACTTAGGTGCTCTGATGGCGATGCTACAGGAGCAGCTGCAGCGCGGACGAGATGAACAGGCCTCTACTGTCTGTTGAAAGAGCAGAAGGAGGAACAGGCTCGCCGACAGGAGGAACAGGCTCGCCGGCAGGAGGAACAGGCTCGCCGACAGGAGGAACAGGCTCGCCGGCAGGAGGAACAGGCTCGCCGACAGGAGGAACAGGCTCGCCGACAGGAGGAACAGGCTCGCCGACAGGAAGAACAGGCTCGCCGACAGGAGGAACAGGCTCGCCGACAGGAGGAACAGGCTCGCCGACAGGAGGAACAGGTCCGTCGGTTGGAAGAGCAGCTGCAGGGTGGACAGGATGAACAGGCCCGCCGACAAGAGGAACAGGCCCGTCGGTTGGAAGAGCAGATGCTCCTCATGAAGGACCTTCACGCTACTTTCGGGAAGGAGATAAAGGAGGTGAAGGATAGGTTGCTCAGCGTGACAACCGCCTGTCAGAAGCTGAAACCCAAATCGCGAAAGCTGAAACCCGAATTTAGAAGGCTGAAACCCAAATCAACCAAGTGAACAATCGGGTTGACAACGTGATGGCTGACGTGAAGAAAACGCTGGAAGACCTCAAACTTGGGGATGGAACAACAGCTCCCGTAGTAGCTACAACACCTTCGCTACGTGGATTCAAAGTGCCGCCGTTCGACGGGACTTCTTCCTGGTCGGCCTACAAAATCCAGTTCGAGGCCGTCATGGAGACGAACGGCTGGTATAAAAGCCAAGCCATGACTGCACTCACCCTAGGCCTGCGCGACCAAGCCGTAACTGTGTTGGAAGCTCTCGGTAAGACAGTGACCTACGAGCAGCTCCTTGAGGCGTTGGAGGCGAGATATGGCGACGCTCACCTGGAACACGTCTTTTGCGCGCAGCTTAAAGATCGCGTGCAACGCAGCAACGAAAACCTGCAGCAGTGGGCCCTTGAGGTGGAGAAGATGGTTCGAAAAGCATACCAGTCTGTACCTGCGCTCATTGAAGGGAACCTGGTTCAGACATTCATCGACGGCATCTGCGACCTTGAAGTCAGAGCTGCTGTGAGGCTCGGGCACCACGAGACGCTTAAGGACGCCTTGGCCCATGCACTGGAGGTGCAAGCCGTGCGGCAGGATCTTCGCTCCCATCGCGTCAGGGAGGTTGCAGCAGCTACGGTTCGCGACCGCAATAAAGGATACAGCCCTAGGTGCTATGGCTGTAGGGAAAGGGGCCATCTTCGATCCAGCTGCCCTAAGCGAACCGTAGAAAGGGAAGGTGAACGATATCAGGAGGGTGGTGCGGCTAACAGCCCAGCAGCAGCAGGGAAACGAGTAAAAGCCAGAACTGCGAGGCGGGTGCTGGCTGATGTTAAAAGAGCACCAAGGAGCTCGATCTCACAAATCCATGATGGGAACAGTTTGATCGTCAAGGGCGAGGTCAACGGAATGCCGTCCAACTTATAAGTCAGTTCCTTGGGGACTCCGCATACAACCGAGAAAGCATTAATTTGGTAACAGCCACCGGTCAGCGTATACCCATCTGTGGAGAGAAAGAGATGGATTTGAAGCTAGGCAACATGATCTACCTGCATAATGTCATCGTGGCTGATATAATTGGACGACTGCATCCTGGGCCTAGACTTTATGAGGAAGAATTGTTGTGCGATTGACGTTAAGCAAGGTGTTTTGAAGTATGGACAAGAGGAACTTTTTGTGGAAGGGGCGTTACCAGGGAACGTGTACAGCCTTAAGAAGATTGTTCTTCCGCCGAGATCGGAAACGATTGTGCCGGTTAGTCTTCCTCGGAATCCTGGACAACCTCATCGTTGCGTACTCGTGGAAAGGTTAGACAATGACCTTCCATGGAAAGTGGCTCGAACCTTGGTCAGGACCACTAACATCTCAAGAGTACGTGTGCTGAACCTTTGTGACCAGGAACAGATTATAGAAAAAGGCACACTGGTGGTACTTGTGAGGAAGTGGATTGGCTACGTCGGTGCCAATATCTATCGACTGGGACCCCCAGCAAGGATGCACAAACGAGAGTGAGCACACTTTTAGAAGACTGTCGCAGCGTTCTCTCCCCGAGCGAAATGGTCAGGGCAAAGAAGTTGTTACTCAAGCACGCCGATGTATTCTCATCAAACGATGCTGACATAGGAAAGACTAGCTTAGTTCAACACAAAATAGACACAGGAGAAGAATTGCCTATCCGTCAGCGGCCAAGAAGATTGCCGGTAGCACATGAAAAGGAAGTAGAAACCATGATTGAAGGAATGGTGAAGGACGGTGTTATTGAACCTTCCTCTAGTCCATGGTGTTCACCCGTGGTGCTGGTAAAGAAGAAGGATGGCAGCATGCGGTTTTGTGTTGACTACCGCCGTCTGAACGACTTTACGAAGAAGGACAGCTATCCCTTGCCAAGAATTGATGACACGCTGAACATGCTTACAGGAGTAAAGTGGTTTAGCACGCTGGATCTAAAAAGTGGCTACTGGCAAGTTGAAATTGACCCTAAGGACAAGGGAAAAACTGCGTTCACGACGGGAAAGGGTCTGTGGCAATTTAAAGTAATGCCGTTTGGGTTGTGCAATGCTCCAGCAACGTTTGAAAGGCTGATGGAACTTGTACTTACCGGGCTAATTGGCGATGCCTGTCTGGTCTACTTGGATGACATCATCATCGTGGGCCGTACGTTTGAGGAACACCTTCAAAACCTGGAACGCGTGCTCATTAAGATTCAGAGTGCCAACCTCAAGTTGAGTCCGAAGAAATGTTCACTATTCAAACGGCAAGTCAACTTTTTGGGGTAATTAGTGTCGGAAGAAGGTATCCGCACGGATCCAGAGAAAATCGCAGCTGTCAAGGATTGGCCGGTTCCAAAAGACAAGACGCAGGTTAAGAGCATTTTTGGGTTTGTGCTCCTATTACCGGCGATTTGTAAAGAACTTTGCAGATATAGCCAAACCTCTGCATAAGCTAACAGAGGAGAAGCGACATTTCTGCTGGGATGAAAGTTGCAATATCGCATTCCAGGAGCTCAAGGACCGTCTGTGCAAAACACTAATTTTGGGATACCCTGATGCAAGCAAAGAATTTATAGTTGACACAGACGCAAGTGATATAGGACTTGGCGGTGTGTTGTCTCAACGGAATGGTGACCAAGAGGTCGTGATAGCGTACTTCAGCAAGTCTTTGTCAAAACCGGAAAGGAACTATTGTGTCACAAGACGCGAATTGCTAGCTGTGGTAAAGTCGTTGCAGCATTTTAGCAAATATCTTCTGGGGCGAAAATTTTACTTACGAACTGACCATGCTGCACTAAAATGGCTATTGCAGTTTAAAAATCCAGAAGGACAAGTTGCGATGTGGATTGAACTACTGCAGGAATACGACTTTGAGATCGAACATCGCAGCGGGAAATCTCATGGCAACGCAGATGCATTGTCAAGAAGACCTTGTCCTGAAGATTGCAAACATTGTACTAGGCATGAGAGTAAGGAAGTGGTATCCGTGAGGATGCTCAGGACAGACCACCTCAGCAACGAGTGGATGGACAGCTTACAAAGTGCACAGCAGGAAGATCCGGACATCAAGCCGATTCTGGAATGGATGAAGGCCAGTGCTCCCAAGCCCAAGTGGAGCGACGTCTCAGCGATGAGTTCGACCACTAAAAGCTATTGGGCCCAGTGGGACAGCTTGCTGCTTCAGGATGGAGTTCTGTGCCGTAAATGGGAAAATGTTCGGGGAGACAGCTGTCATTTGCAAATGGTTGTCCCTAAAGCTAAAGTACCGGATGTTCTACGGCTGTACCATAATGATTATTCAGGAGGCCATCTGGGAGTTAAACGAACTCTACTGAAGATCCGAGAACGGTTTTACTGGGTCCACTGTCGAAACGATGTCGAGGACTGATGTCGCAAATGTACAAGTTGTGCGGCTGTAAAGGGACCTCAGACTCGTAGTAGAGGTGCATTGAAGTTGAACAATGTTTGTGCACCATGGGAGAGAATAGCCATTGACGTGGCGGGGCCGTTTCCGGAGAGTGAAAGCGGTAACAAGTATTTCATGGTTGTGATGGATTACTACACTAAGTGGCCAGAAGTCTTCGCCATTCCAAATCAAGAAACTTCAACAGTTGCAGATAAACTAGTTCATGAAGTCTTCTGTCGTTTTGGAGTACCTTTAGAGATTCACAGCGATCAAGGAAGGAATTTTGAGTCTCAAATATTCCAGGAAACTTGCCGAGTGAGAGGTGTTAAGAAGTCGTTCTTGTTTTATGAGTACCCACAGTACTCATAAAACAAGAACGACTGCTTATCACCCGCAATATGATGGAATGGTAGAACGATTTAATCAGACATTGGAGAGGTACCTAGCAAAAGTTGTAGACAATCGGCAACGAGATTGGGACAAGCACATACAACCGTTTTTATTGTCATATCGAAGCGCTGTTTACGAAAGTACAGCAGTGACACCAGCTTTCGCATACTTTGGAAGAGAATTACGGCTACTGGCAGGCCTGATCACAGGGATACCACCTGATGCCCCACGCAGTATAACCGATTATGCAAATGACTTGCGGAATAAAATGAATGACATTTATGAGCACGTTAGACAATCGGGCCAGCAAATGTCTGAGAAGATGAAAACCCGGTATGACCGCAAAATGAACAATAAAGGGTTCGACGAAGGTTCACTAGTGTGGTTGCACAATCCAGTCCGCAGCAAAGGGAAATCTCCTAAGCTTCAAGCTAAATGGGACGGCCCGTACCGGATTGTAACCAGGATCAACGATGTAACCTACCGGATACAGAAAGGCGCAAGAGGGACTCCTAAGATCGTCCATGTGGATCGCTTGGCGCGTTATTATGGGGCCGATAATGCTCGGGACGAGCATGTCTTAGGAGGGGGCAGTGTTGCGAGCCTAAGTTGACGTCATGTTGTGTCAGGGACGAGAGCGAGGGGAACTTTCCAGAAAATGACATCACTAATCTTTCAACCGACAGCGCCATCTGGTGTCGAAACGAAGAAATAAGCTTCTAGAAGGCGACACTCGAACTTTCGACGCCTTGCGCGTATTTACTTGAATGTTCTAGATGTTTCGGTGCTAATGTGTATTTATAGGCGCTGCAAGGTGCGATCGGGCAAGTATTGAATTCGGCGAGACAAGCGAAGCTTCGGAGCGAAATAAAGTGAATCAGTGTGATTAATTATTGGTGTTTTAAGTTTAATTAGTGTAAAGTGAATTAAAGTGTTAATTTTGGTAATTCAATCGGCAGTTTTTAATTATCACGAACCCTAAGCTCGTAACAATAATATTGGTGCAGCATGGCTCTGACTGTACAAAACATTGCATTTAGAATTGAATATAAATAATAATATTTAATTTCGTAGGTGTGCATAAGTAAAATTTTGAATTAATATATTACGCATTCACACAATACTTTATTTTTATATTAATAGAATATAATATAATTATATTAATAAAAAAAATCGTTACAGGTTCTACCAGGTGACATACTGCTTGATCCATTTGTTGGGTCGGGGTCGTTGCTTGTCGCCGCGGGACACTTCGGCGGTTAGTACTATAATATTCATATTCAGGCATATTCTCTGTCCCTATTAGTTATAATTTGAAAAATAAATAAAGTATATTTTTATTTGTAGCACATGTGTGGGGTTCAGACATCGACTTCATGATGCTGCATGCCAGGTCACGTCCAACCCGAGTCGGACAAAAGGTAACAATGTATGTATTACATGGGACTTAAGGTTTTATAATTTTGTTAGATGTTGCATTTTCTTAATTTAAGATACAAAATCAAGTAACTGTCAATATAATTTCTCTTCTTAAATTATACATTGACTAGTAGAGAACACCTCGATGCAGGTTCCCTCATTTTTTCCATCACTGCTAATAGCAACAGCATGTGGCATATCAACATTTATAATAATTACAATTGATAATTTCATTAGTGTCTTTAATATGCTTACCCCATAAACTATTTTGCTTTTTTTAAATTTAATTAATAACATGAAGGCCCTTATGTGTACCTAACTTTTGATCCAAAAGCAAATCAGGAATTTCTTGTTGGTAAATTATTAATTTATTATATATTGATAACTCATTTCGTTAATTACTGAGATCAATGCTCAGACGAAGGACCTGTTTATTGCAATCAATTTGTCATTTATTGCACAAGAATCTATACACTTTGGTGGCGATGGCCAATACATGGTCATTATCAGGCCAAGATTTTTATTTATAGGACAGGGTGTCAAACAAGCACACAGTCCATCTGATAGTAAGTGGATGCTGTGACCCATGGACATCTCGATCTCGATCCTCGATTAAGAATCAAAAAGCAAATGCGTTGTCACCCTTGAGGACTTAGAGTGAATGCCTCGTTTCCAGTAAGAAAGGGTCTCCGGATCACTCACCATAACAAATGCAGCAGTATTAAGCTGCTATGGTATTTTGTGAGAGCGTGGTCTTTCCCTGGTCGAGCCGACCCATTCGTGCTACAACTATACTACTAATATAACTGCAGCATGGCTTTACCACTTCTGCTTCTCTTCTGATGGCTTCTAACGATTGCTCCTACCTTGTGATGGCGGCGTAAGAGATTCTGTCACTCCATAATTTGCAGAACGGCAGCGGCGAGGAGCGTCAAAGGTGCTCACGTACGGTACTGAATTCGTCAATCCCCTTGCACAGTGTGACGATTATGGAAAATCCTTTATACAACAGGAGGCTTGTATCCATTAGTGTACATTTACGGGCTGATGATAAAGACTTCTATGTATACTACTAGACAGGCACTACGATACTATTACATACATTGCGCATTAAGTTACCGTTAATTCTCCGTAACTTCTTTAGTCGACTGCGAGCTAGACATGTGTCAATCATGAATGATTTGTTCGTTTGAGCTGGTACACTTAAACATATTGATGTTTCATTCATCTGTTTTTGAATGTATCGGTACAACCGATCACAAACAATTGACGGAATCTTTTTAACTCGTGGTTGGTGTGAATTGTGAATGAGCCGAAAACCGAGTGAATCTCGAATACGTGAATAATCTGAATAAACTGGCGAATCGAATAAACAATGAAGACTGCAAAGTATCAGGAGTATTTATTATTTAAGAGTTTTTTTTATTATAATATTGTTACCTAAATTAAAAATTATTTTACATTTTACTATATTTATTTGTTACATCTATGAGTTAAAAATATCATTTCGTAAAGATTACTAAAAATAACATTTCAAAAGATTTCATGGCAAATTATTTATTTAATCTGATAATTTTCTACCACCTTATATGAGTTAGTATAAGATAAAAGTTTAATTTTGTATCAAATAAATGTTAGTGTAACAATTCTTATTTTTAGACATGTAAAGTAAGACGAAATTATGTATTGTTGCGAATGAAATACAAAAATAAATAAAATTTATTAAATATTTAAAATATATATTAATATTGAATAAAGTTATAAATCAAAATCAAATCAAGTCAATTGAATCACTTGAGATTTTTGTGTTTATGCCATCTAGCGTCGATTGTACTTACCACCTAATTAGTCAATAAAATGTCTTTATTACCTATAGCAAAATTTTCGGTTCCCAATGGATAGGCTCACAGAGTACTGGAGCCCGAAATGTTCCATTTAAATGATCGATCCGAATGTACCGGTATGCGTGATGAAATGTACTAGAATGATTCGGTCACTAGAAATGAATGATTGACACATGTCTAACCCGGATGAAATATTTTATTCTTAAAACTGTGATTCAAATTTTGTTTCACAAATGATTCAGGTGCGTAAAAAAGACGAGAACATCAAGGGCAACATGAATCAGTACGGGATCGAATCCCGTTACTTGGACGTGGTGGTAAGCGACTTCTCGCTACCGATGTGGAGAGACGACCTAAGATTCGACGCCATTGTTACAGATCGTAAGTTTCTTAACATCACTTTTATGACTACATAATATAAAGACTGTGTTTCATTTCATAAGATTAAGAAACACTTGTGAATATTGTGGTTTAGGTATGTCTGGTTGTTCAGTGCGATATATTGGATCTTATTTGCAGAACATTTTCTCAACACAGTAGACTAAGCTGTCATAATCCTATACCTTTAAACGATCAATTCTTGTATATATATATATATATATATATATATATATATATATATATATATATATATATATATATATTTAGTGTCCAGGGAGTTTCGGGGCAATAAATCGATCTAGCTAGGATTTATTTTTAGAAAATGTCTTTTTGTCCGTGTTTTTAGGCAATGAAAAACTGCTTCAATATAAGAAGGTAAATTTTGACTTTGTGTTAATGATCGTAATAGCTCAAGTGAAATTGTAATGCCTTGGTTCGCGTCCTGCCTTCGGTCCGACTTTTTTCCTTTTTTTTTCAAGTTCCTTTAAGTCAGCCTTCTTAGCATTGTGGGAAAACTGTATGCTAAGGTACTAATTGAAAGAGTTATGAAAGAAACTGATGAAAAAATTTGGGATGTGCAAGCGGGATTTAGAAAGGGAATGGGGTGTACAGATCAAGTCTTTTCCATGCGCATGATCGCGGAGAAGTTTTTGGCGAAAAACCAAAAAGCTTTTGTGCGTTCATGGACTTGGAAAAGGCTTATGACAGAGTGGACAGGGATGTGTTATGGCAAACGCTGAACGCATTTAGGTTGAGCGCTGGTTTGATACAGGCATTAAAGTCTCTGTATAGGGACTCGAGTGCTTGTGTTAGAATCAACGGGGTCTACTCGGACTGGTTTAGCATCCATAAAGGTGTCAGACAGGGCTGTGTGGCTTCCCCGTGGCTGTTCAACCTATTTATGGACAGCTGTTTGGAAAATTTGAAAGTTGAAGGATGCGGGTTAAGAATGGGTGAGTTAACCATCAAATGCCTTTTGTACGCCGATGATCAAGTCATACTTGCGTCGTCGGCGGCCGAGTTGCAAATGATGGTTACATTAATGAACAGGTCATTAAAAGAAAGGGGAATGAAAGTGAACGCAAGTAAGACGAAAGTGATGGTTTTTGAAAGAGATGAAAGCAAAACGGTATGTGAAATAAGAATAGAAGGAGAGTTAATTGAGCAAGTGGATGAGTTCGTATATTTGGGATGTGTATTCAGCAGGGATGGGAGATATGATAAGGATATTGAACGACGAGTGAATGCAGGAAATAAAGTAAATGGGGCTCTACACTCTATTGTGAAAAGTCAGAATGTGTCAAAAAAGGCACGTATGGCAATTCACAGTGCTGTATTAGTCCCTACTTTAACGTATGGTAGTGAAAGTTGGGTGTGGCAGAAGAAGCACGAGAGTAGAATAAATGCAGTAGAAATGCGGTCGCTAAGGAGTATGTTAGGGCTGAATCTGAGTGACAGGGTGAGAAACTGTGTGATAAAAGAAGAGTGTGGTTTGCAAGATGATGCGGTGACCAGGATTAAGAAAGGAATGCTTCGGTGGTTTGGTCATGTAGAAAGAATAAATGCGGAAAGACTGACAAAGCAAATATATGTTGCTGAAGTGAATGGAAGAGTCGGAAAGGGACGTCCTAGGCGGATGTTTGTCGACCAAATTGGCGATATACTAAAAATGGGTCAAATTAAGAGTACCCTTAACCGACGAGCATGTATGCGTAGGTATATGGATGTGGAAGAGGCGAGAAAGGTATGTCAGGATCGTGCTAAATGGAAGTCTGTAGTCTCTGCCTACCCCTCTGGGTGACAGGCGTGAGTGTTTATGTTTATGTTTGTTTATGTTTTTTCAAGTTCCCTTCTTTTATGAGAAAATCTATTATTTCGAGCCCTTTTTTTGTTATTTTTTAAAAATACGAAAGTTTTAATTAAACTAATTGCACTCATGATTTTTATTCAAATAACCAGTTCAGTTTTTTCTATTATGTCAATAAGATCAAAAAATATTATTCATATTTCATCAGTATGTAATTTGTATCTAAATATAATTAAAAAAAAAACCGAGCGAAGCTCGGTCATCCAGGTACTATTATATACATACAATAAAGGGCAAAACTTAAATCAAAGCGCTTCTTTCTTTAACTTGCTCCAATTTCTTCATCATGTGCCGTTACAATCCAATGCTGGATCATTATCATATGAAATGAAATGAAATCAAATCAGTTTATTTTGTAAAATGTAATATCTATATTTTTTCGAAGAAAGAAAGTAAATTGTATGCGTGAAATATAATTTTTTAAACTTATTAAATCAAATCTACTATAGTTTTGAAATGTGGTTCCTCTGACCGAAGAAGAAACTGCTAAAGTAACTCTAATGGCTGATGTCGGATGATGGACACCCTTTTTACTGGAAACGAGGCATTCCATCTTACCTCAGGGGATAACGCATCTGCATTTTGATTCTTAATCGAAAATAAATGGAGATGTATATGGGCCACAGCATCCACTTTCTTTTACACTACTTACAATTACACTGTATTTTCTTTCACTGCTACTATACGGTTCAACATAGGGAAAATTAAATTGTTAAATTAAGATAGTCAAGAGGTGTCCTGATATGAATTGCATTGTGGCAGTTAAAATAAACAAGCGGCGATGGAGATAGAATACTTGCCTAAACTATAGGGCTAGCCAAGATGATCTACGATCGTTAACACTTAAGAACACTATAAAAATGAATGAATTCAACGCTAAGTCTCGACGTCTCTCGACCATCAGATAAGTCATTCCCATTCATTTAGAAAGTTTAATATATATCGTTAACGATCATAGACTGTTATCTTTGCTAAGACCTAAGACCGTTAAACTGACAAAATACTTTACTAAAAAAATATGGTCTTACTATTAATATTTTAGTTTAATACTAAATTTCGGAAAAGTATGGTACTACTAGCGTATGTTATAGCATTCAAACCTCTCTCTTACATCAGTAAGGGTTGCTTTGTACTAGACAAAGTCCATCTGATGGTATGTGTTATGCCTCATTAGACACCTACATTTACGATTATGAATCAAAATTTAAAGCCATATGGGCTAAGATAGAATGCCTCGTTACCAGCAACATGTATCTCCAGTTTGTTTACATTCACCATACGATCATAGCAGCATAATGCCGGGACGCTGGTATTCTGTGCGAGCGTGGTCCTTTCTATGCAGGACTATTCGCTAATTTTGTTTACATCAAAAACTATAGTCACTTTGTAGTACGTCGTTTCGTATGTTTTATAAGCCGTGTTAATTGTTATAAAAAAAGCTATATAGCATTTGATACACTACAAAGTTACTATCATTTTGATTTATTTATTTGATTATTTTGCATAATGTGTGTGTTTTACAGTTGTTATAAAAAATATAGTACAACACATTTAACCATTTCTGGTGTACAAAATGATAGAAATTTAAAAACATTAAGTATTATTAACTACAATATAGATTAAAATGACAAAAAAAAACCATTGATAATAATTAAACAAACAAAACACATAAAAATAAACTAGAAAGCGACATAATAAAACAAATACATTTACTGTTAATGGCACTATCACATTATTAATATTTATATTTTCATGTCACATTATATATTAAGTATTAAAATATTATTATTAAAAATAGTCCAAAATTTAAGGATATTGTTTTTCCAACAACTCACTAACCGAATAAAAAGATTTATTATAGCCACTTTTTCAACTCGTTCCCGAAACTCTTCCTTGGTTGTAGTTTTACGATGTCTACGAAGTCAGCGAAAAGGCCTGCCGGTCGAGGCGACTGATACGCCTAATAATGTCTTCCAGAACATTCGGTCACGGCGGCCAGTATCAACAGAGACTAGCCATCTGCGCAGGACAGGATTATAGAGCCGCAGTGTATGTGCAAACACAGGTGCACTCCCTATTTCTTCAACTCTTATAGCCCGATGGGATGTGCTGGTATCCGATGAGAGATCAGGCGCAGGACCTGCGGCTTAGCGTGCTTTCCCAGGCATAGGGGTGAAACATCGGCACTTTCCCGACTCCATGCTGGTTCTGAGAATGTTGTGACAGAAAAATCCAACAAGTGATATTGACCCGACCCTGGATTCAAAACCAGGACTTCATAATCAGCAATCGCGTTCACGACCACTAGACTAACGCGACATTCGTAATCGTAATTCTGTAAATCGAGGATAAATGTCTTTGGGTCACAGCATCCACTTACCATCAGGTAGACTGTATGCTCGTTTGTCACCCTTATTCTATAAAAAATACGTTTTAACTGCGCATTCTTTGAGATATAATTTATGCTCATTACGACTTGTTTAAATCCACATCACTGGACACTGTTTTGTTGTTTACACCAGCGCCCTACGGAGTTCGCGAGCCAACGGAGAGAATTGGAATAGAAAGAAAAAATTACACGCTTTCTGATCAGCACCTGGTCAACCACATTCCGTCTAAAGTGGAATATGGGCTGCCGCATATCTACAGCGACCTGCTGAACTTCGCTGCGAGACACCTGGAGATGGGGAGGCGGCTTGTGTGCTGGTATCCATTAGTTAGGTAATATAATAATATAATGAGTTGGAACTTTATTAATATATAGAGCAGGGTAATTACAGGTGTTAGCCGATTCTACAAAGAAGTTAGATTGTCGGGGTGCGAACTTTGCTCAAGTATTATAAAACTAATAATCTTCGCTTCGATCGCTTATCTTTTGAATACACATGACAAATCCATATACAGGGTTATTTTGTAAACTATGCCCGAATTTGCAGAAACGGTGCAGAATAGATAATGTAGGCGAATGGTAAAAGAAAAAATAATTAAAAAAACTCAAACATTGTCCTTTTTACTTTTAAATTCAGAATGCGTGGAAATGTATTATTTTAATTGATTGCTATTCATAAATGTCTAATGCCTACTATTGTGAATTGCGCACGGAGGCCCTATATTATAGGCCTGCATACTCGCCGAATCTTTCACTGTAAGAGTTTTATCTATGGGCTGAAATAAAGAGTCGTGTTTATGTAAAAAAAGCTCAAAGTTACGAGTACCGCCGCAGCAAATTTATTTCTGCATTACAGGTACAGTGTAAAAAAAAATTTATTAAAGTATGCTCGTCTATGCATGGAGAGAAACAAAATTCACTCTGTAAATATTTCATTTCAATTTTTTCAACACGTCTCAATAATGACAGTCTTCGGTTATTATAAACGGTCATTTATAAGCAAACATATTGTTTTTAATTTCATTTATTATGAAGATTTTAAGCCCGTTAAAAGTATGAAGGGTAAAATTGGAATCATATTTAGCGTCTTGTAGTTATCACTAAAGCATTAGTACCTATAGTTCGGCCGTTCAGAGAATGCGTTCCTGACACGTCGCGATTGAACTGACGACGTAACTTTGTAATGGCGTTGCAGTTACGATAAAAATATTTTTGCTGGTTGTTTACCGTTTTAACAATTGATGAGCATTAAAACAACATTATTATATCAATAATCAATGAATGTTATAATTTTGTGTGCCAAACTGAGTGTCAAATAACTTGGTAAACAATATTTTTCTAAATCTATACTGCGCTTGATTAAAACTACTTTTACGGATTTTATCGCGTAGTTTTAATCATGTGCAATGTTCGCGTAAATATAAGAAATCACTATACTGCGCTATTACAAGGTTATGTCAGCGCTTTATATTTGTAGTGCTGTGCTAACAATAACAGGCAATAACAGTATCGTAATCTGTTCTTATACAGTTATACTTTATAAAATAATACGTTTTGTTTACTTTTTAAGAATTTGAAAATAATGGACTATAAGATAACTTTTATTAAATATAAAAATAAAACTAAGACCAAACCGAACGCGCGAAAGAAAGTAGCATTTTTATATTTAGGTTGAAAATGGTAACCCCAAATGGCGTTATGGGCCGCCATTTTGTGACGCTAAAACAGTCGTCTGTTGTCGTTTCGTGCGCATAGACCACGTTCTTCAAGTGTTTTCGATCTGTTTTTATTTGATTACCCGGCTTTCGTTTAATGGACTGTTTCTGCTTTTCAAACTGACATCGGCGCTAAATCGGACTTCGATTGTGTTTTGTATGGCGTTCTTTTTACTTTTGGTGCATAATAATGCCTAAACGTGGACAAACATTGAAAAGTGGAGCCCGTGAGTTAATCATCAAGCTGCAAGATTACTTTGAGCGGGAGCGGCAAAATGGCGGACCCCTGTTACCTGTCGAACAAGTACAAGAACGCGTCTCTCAGGCGCTTGGAGTTAGGAAACGAACGATAACAAATATTAATAAAGAAAAGTGCGGCTCTACTGGCACGGAAGATAATATTTTATGTACTCCGAAGAAGAAACGTAGAACTAAACCCGTGACAGATATTGACACCTTTGACGCCGATGCAATCAGAAATCATATATATGGTTACTATTCCAGAAATGAATATCTCAACAGGAAGAAGCTTTTGGCATCGTTAAGAGAAGCTGGACTGTTTAGCGGGGGTAAAACTGCTTTAACCAAAATCTTAAAAGATATTGGTTTTTCGTATAAAAAACAGACAAAAGAAAAATTTTATTAGAACGATACGACATAATTTTAAAACGGATAAGTTTTTTGAGAGAAGCAAAAAAATATTGATAACTGGGATAACGTCGTGTTCATTGACGAGACATGGCTAAACGCCAATCACACGGTTTCCCGTTCTTGGATGGATGATACACAAGCGTCGACGTCGAAAGTACCAATGGGTAAGGGGGCCCGTCTGATAATATGCCACGCAGGTTCTGCAAAATACGGCTTTGTGGAGAACGCGTTACTGGCATTTCAATCAAAAATCACAAATGACTACCACGAGGAAATGAATCCCACTACATTTAAAGAGTGGTTCCAGAACGTGCTTTTGCCCAGCCTACCAGAGCCTTCTGTAATATTCATGGATAATGCCTCCTATCACTCGGTTCAAATACAGAAACCACCTACCCAAGTTAATAAAAAGAAGAAATGGTGGCTTGGTTACAAGCAAAAGGCACTGACGCAAATATGCAGATGCTAAAACCAGAGCTAATTAAATTAGTTAAAGAAAATAAAGCGGCAAAAATGTGCGATACGAAATCGATGAACTGGCTCTGGAGTACGGTCATCGCGTTCTAAAAATTCCACCGTATCATTGCCAATATAACGCGGTTGAGCTAATCTGGGCTCAAATAAAAGGTTACGCCGCCCGATAAAATAATACTTTTCGCCATTCAGCACGAAAAAGATGATGACCCTATTAAAAGAAGCCTGCGGGGAAGTCAGAAGAGATGACTGGGCAAAGGTTGTTGAGAAGACTAAAAACCTGATTGTTGGAACATTTTGACCGAGATATCAGGATTGCTGTTATTGATAATAATATAATTATACATGTAGGCGAAGATGATGATGAAGACACCACCTCCTCAAGCGAATCGGAGTCTGATTAATATTCTGTACGCACATTCAATTCAATGTACTTTATTGCATAGAAATACAGATTGTAACTTTGTAACAAAAAATAAATAAAACAATTTTATTATATTAATATTACCTTTTTTTGATTTTCACTTATATTACTAAAATATAAATTTTAAATGATTCCGCCAATTTCGAAAATAATCTTAAAATAACGCGGCGGTTCATTTTGGAGGAACGGTAACGAACTCAGTGTTATGTTGTGCCCATCCCTAGTCGTGACTAACTGATAGGTGTCAGGAACGCATTCTCTGAACGGCCGAACTATAGTGAGCGTGTCATTAGGAAAGTAAATAGTAAGCAAAAACTTAGTGAATTGAATCGCACACGTAGGAGCGCGCTTACGTTGCAGTTGTTGCACTATAGTCAACCAAATCTAAGAAATACGTTTTGACAGCTGTCACACTTATTGCACCAAGCATGCCAACCAAAAAATGGGAACGTACAATATTCGATTCTTAAAAAAATCGATATCGATTATTTAGAGTTTGTAATCATTTAAAGATTGGTATGAATAATACCAGAATAAATTAAAAACGGATAATTTAAAACAAGATTTATCAATTTCTTCGTATTTCTTGTTAGTGCTTATTTCTAGAGGCAAAGTTATAAACATTTAAAATTGAAACTAGATTAAAAATAAATTTATTCAATCACTTTCGGTATAAATAGTTAAGCTGTCGTTGTTTAGATTAATTATTAAATGATTTTCAATAATACAGTCAAAATTAATGTCTGTTTCATAGTCATCCATAATTATTTTTTTTTGTTTTTTCTTTCAATTTTGCCCAATCATCCTTTGTGACATGAGCACATGCTTCAACGAATATAGAAGAAACAGTCCAAAAAGTTAAAGCCGAGTCACAAAATAAGAAGACATACACAAAATCATAAAATTACGCATACGCCCCCGAAATGGCGAGAGATTAAACTACGTAATGATTTTTTTTAGCGCGGCGTTGTATATGAGTTTTTATGCCTACACAAATTAACGTTGACAAAGTAAAAAAATAAGGTTTGTTTCATTAATGGTTCTTGTTGTTTAAAGATTTTTTTAAAATAAAAATTTTATTAAACAAATACACAAATACACTAAAAAATTAATGATTCGATTAATATTAAAATTAATATTTTACCGATTATTCGCATAACTATAAATTTTAATCGTCCAAACACTACGGTAAGGTACATAGCGACATATCATTGAAACGACGACAAGTAAAAAAAGTTGATACTGGTTATTTTTTCAATATTTTGTTTTGTTTGATAGATTCGAATTTTAATTAGTGATAAAAAACTATACACGTTGTAATGAAATTTAGATAACTTCATAATTCTTCGGATTTACGTAAAGGTTATTTTAAATCGTATGAGTACGCTTGTGCAAAGTTATTGCGGTATGATTAATGTGAAACGTCAAAAGGTATTTCTTAGATTTGGTTGACTATAAATCCTGAGCCTTATTTATTCGTATTTTCAAAAAACTGTCAAAACGGTATATCGGTATTAATTTATTTGTACTTAAATATTAAATTTGGATACACTTTGAAAAATAACCCCGTATATAAGCAACAGTTGCCTAATGGTTAATGGTGCGGATCGTGAACCTAAAAGTCGTGGTTCCGAATCCGCAATTCAAATACTGTCTTGAACCGCTACTAACATTTTAAGCATACTTAGTGTTTCAGGGTTCCGGAATTATTAGTAATGTTAATTGCTTGTAGGATTATTATATGGTTTTACCATATAATCCTCCAGACCGAATTTCTGCCTCAGCGGAGACTAGCCATCGGCATAGGACAAGATTACAGTGCCCAAGTGTGCGCAGTGCCTTTTCTCCCCTCATAATCCGATGGGCGGTAAACCGTCACGACCGGAGAGAGATCAGGCGCAGTACCAACGGCTTTACGTGCTTTCCGAGGCACGGGGGTGAGACACCGCCAACTTCCTGACTCCGGGCAACTACTGAGAATTTCTTGACGGAAAAAACTCAATAATTAATTTTTTTGGCCCGACCCGGGATTCGAACCCAGGACCTCAGATGAATGATGCAGAGAATCAGCAGTCGTATTACTACAACCACTAGACCAACGTGGCAGTCAAACCATATTAATCTCTCAGGGAAGAATACAAGGAAGACGAATTACCGTCTCATCCGTGTCTCCGCTTGGTTGCCAACTCGGAGCAAGTGCTGTCGAAGCTGACCGCGAGGCGGCTGCTCACTTACCAGAAAATCCACGACGAAGTGCCCAACTTGCCCGTCGATCCTAATGCTATGACCCATAACTTCAGGTGAGAAATACTCAAGGAACTGATTGTTTAATAATTCTTTAATATAATTATAATCTTAGTACCTGGATGACCGAGCTTTGCTCGGTTTTAATTAAAAAAATTTATGCAAGTTTAATTAAAATTTTCGTATTTTTAAATAATACTAAAAAAGGGCTCGAAAGAATAGATTTTCTTTCGACTCTGGCAAAGACTTTGGAGCCCTGGTTCCGCTCAATCGCTTCTTCAGTACGAGCAGTATTAAATTTGCGAAGTCTCGCCGCATGCATTTGGAGATCTGTCTGTTCAGTTGCCTTTATGCTGTCAAATCTGTTGACGATTGCAGCGTCATCTCCCGTCCAACAGCCAAGAGATTAAGAGTGTGATCGGAGAGCTTTTGTATTCTTCTGCGGCCGGTCTTGCAGAACTTAGCTCCGACCGCATGGACAGTTTCCACGAGCTTGTCATTCATATCGTCCACTGCATTGCAATATTCTAGGCACTGAAAGCGGTTACGTAACTCCTCATCGGGATGTGTCGAGGTTGGTGCGTAAACCTGTATGACCTTCAGCGAATACCGTTTGGTGATTCTGAGTATCAGGTTCGCGACCCTCGTCGACACACTCCCAATATTTACAACGTTGTTGACGAGAGACTTGTGGACGATAAATCCGACACCTCCTTGGGACAGATGGTCGCCCTCCCGGTGATAGAACAAGTTGCCGGACTCGAGGATTACCGTGTCCTCCCCCTCTCTTCGGACCTCGAATAACCCAATAATATGCCAGCGCAACTTGCTCTTCCTCTACCTCTTCTTCCAACTCCAGTATCTTCTCGTCAGTCCTCAGGGTGTGTGCGTTATATGTTGCCAGGTCGATTTGTCGTAGGTGGCAACCGAACCTCCACCGGAGATTTTAGCACCTCCTGCCTCGCCGTTACCATGGTCGCCACCGTAGCCAGGAATAGCGGGGCCGCCGGGGACTGGGGGCCGTTTGTTTGCGTCGTTACTCATGGGGGGATATTTGCCATAGTTGCCACGCTTGGCGAGCGGGTTGGCAAACGCAGTTTTTTATTATGTTATTGTTGTTATCAGGAAGATGTTGCTGCCCATCTCCTGCCTGTCTCCCTCTGTCGCCTCTTACGACACCCACGGGAAGATATGGGGTAGTGGATATTCTCCGTCACAAAGAGTTGATTTTACATTATTCATTTATTCATATTCATATCAGCCAAATCTCGAAACATCTAACAGATAGCAGAATTTGTGTCGTGTCTACTATTCGGTTAGGAATATATAACATAAACACTCATGCCTGTCACCCAGAGGGGTAGGCAGAGACTACGGACTTCCATTTGGCACGATCCTGACATACCTCTCTCGCCTCCTTTACATCCATATATCTACGCATACATGCTCGTCGGTTAAGGGTACTTCTAACGTGGCCCATTTTCAAAATATCGCCAATTTGGTCGATAAACTTTTTCCTAGGGCGTCCCTTCCCGACTCGGCCATTCACATCTGCCATATAAATTTGCTTTGTCACTCTTTCCTCATTCATTCTTTCTACGTGACCAAACCACCGAAGCATTCCTTTCTTAATCCTGGTCACAACATCATCTTGCATACCACATTTATCTCTTATCACGCAATTTCTCACCCTGTCATTCAGATTACACCCTAGCATATTCCTTAAAGACCGCATTTCTACAGCATTTATTCTACTTTCGTGCTTCTTCTGCTACACCCAGCTTTCACTACCATACATTAAAGTAGGGACTAACACAGCATTATGAATTACCATACGTGCCTGTTTTGACAAATTCTGGTTCTTCATAATAGAGTGTAGTGCCCCATTCACTCTATTCCCTGCATTTACTCGTCGTTCTATATCCTTATCATATCTACCATCCCTGCTAAATACACACCCCAAATACACAAACTCATCCACTTGCTCAATCAACTCTCCTTCTATTCTTATTTCACATACCGTTTTGCTTTCTTCTCTTTCAAAAACCATCACTTTCGCCTTACTTGCGTTCACTTTCATTCCCCTTTCTTTTAATTCCCAGTTCATTAATGTAACCATCATTTGCAACTCTGCCGCCGATGACGCAAGTATGACTTGATCATCGGCATACAAAAGGCATTTGACGGTTAACTCGCCCATTCTTAACCCACATTCTTCATCTTTCAAAGTTTGGAATCGGTTAGGAATATGTTTTCAATTTTGAAGACGCCCATTCCACACGATCACAACACGCATCGTGGTAGCGCAGAGTCCACGCTAGCTTAGTTATTGTTAACCCTATCGCTCGGCTACCAATCTAATCAGATCGTACAATACCTACCTTACGCCCGCTCTAGTACGGGGCTAATTAGATCAGATAATATCAGAAGTACTGCCTTATGAAAAAACTACTTTTTCCTTTAAAACAAAACCAAAGACAATATGCAATAGATAATAGTATCAAAGACAAAGATATGTTCTTTTATTTTAAACCATAACCTGGCAATGTTTCTTAGAAAAAAAAAAAAGAAATTACTCTAAACTTTCGGCGTTCCACGTGTCGTTTTGATGGAGGCGCTCCGTCTTTTTTTATAGAATTTTATAATTGTGTCTGGACTAAAAACGAAAGTATTATACTTTTTTATATTCCTTGTAATATAGTGAACACGTAGATATATAATTTGTGGTATAAAAAGTGAAAAGTAAATTGCCAAAAGTGCTTCAAAATCTGGAAGGCCCATTATGGCGGCTGGGTCATAAATGTGGTATTTTTCACATTCTCATTTATTTTTAGTGTAAAATGTAAGTAAAAATAGTTTTCTTACATATTTCAAATAACTTGACGTTGTATTTATTTCAAATTCACACAAAACTATTTTAGAAATATTGTTCTAAATGTCACACAGATAAAATATGATTATTTAATTTTTTTTAATTTCTTTATATTTTAATATTTTGGTATGAGTAACGAATGGAAACACATAAAACATAAAAATATACATATTTCCAAACATTTTCATATAAATTTCTCTAAAAACAAAAGTGTAGAATTCAAGTTAGTAGTAATTTTGTCACTAAAATTGAAGTATATACCACTATACAGCTATACAGGGTAATTTACGTATTTTATTACAATTTCTAGCAACCAAAAATAATTTTATTCGATAGTTTATACATTCAACAAGAAATCCTGTAAGTTTTATCCATAAATATTGTCTCAAAGTGAAAATATAGCAAAATTTGCAATATAGCAAAAAATTTGCTAATTTGCAAATTTTCCCGCCATTACGGTCCCGAGCGAACGGGAGTATAACATGTCGCGCGCTGTCAGAGCGAAGGGGTTAATTGCAGTTTTTATTTACTGATTTTACCATGCATTAGGCCTTGAAAGAAAACATCTGCTCACACATAGACGCACAAGCACGCACGCACGCGCGCACACATACACGCACTAGCACGTACGCACGCAAGCACATAAGATACACACACATACATAAACACACACACACACACACACACACATACACACACACACACACACACACACACACACACACACACACACACACACACGGGCGCGCGCGCGCGCTTTAATTTTGTTGCATAAAACTGTATACTAGGAAAAACATTAAAAGTGGACATTATCCGCTGTAATATAGGTTTACCTAGGGAGTTAGTGACTTAATCGAATTTGTAACTACTTTTATGTTTTGATTACAGAGAAAAATACTTCAGCATGGGTGAAATGACTCGGAAAGAGAGGAAAGAGAAACGGGCGGCAGAGATGTCGGCCAATGCTGTTGGGAAGGCACAAAATAACGAGAGCAAGAATCATAGCTCAAATAAATGTCTGTAAATATACAAAGCTTTTTCATTCCATTTACTCACTAAATTACCATAATATAACTCCATACTGTTAGTATCTATCTATATAAAACCCAAAAAAATATTTCTACCTATATTCGTTATAGACTTTGAAACCATTTAACCGATGTGGCGCAAACCGCTTTCATTAGAAAATCAATAATGAGAATATGGTTTTAGAAAACTAAAAAACGAGCTATAAAACACTATATAAAAAAATCAATATAATAATAGCACACGCCGGGTATCCGCTAGTATTATTAAAATGCGAAAGAGTTTGTTAGTTTGTCCATTTATCACGCAGAAACGGGGCAGCTACTGATTGACACGATTTAATGTATAGAGATAAATTTACATGTCGTACAGCCATGCTGCAGCTATATTATGGTTGTAGCACAAGTGAGTCGGCTCTACCGGGGAAGAACCACGCTCTCACAGAATACCATAGTAAAATAATAGCTTAATGCTGTGTTTCGTATGGTGAGTGTAGAGAACCGGAAACCCTTTTTACTGGTAATGCGGGCTCTAGACTCCTGTGTGATTTACGGCGTGAATTCGTCGTCATGAAAAACATGTCCCTCCGCGTTCGCTATCGTTCAATTTTAGTTCGCGCGCTCGTCGAGAATGGGCGCCGAAATATGCAATGCTATCGCCGTGACGTTATGAGCTTTGGCTCACTACAATTACGTGTATATAAAAGATAAAAAATGGAGAAGAAGAAGATGGTGGATGACAAAGACAACAAGGTAGGTGGTACCTATCATAAGTGTCGCTTCAGATGGCGTAAAAGAACTGTTAAATTAGTTTAGTCCTGTCAGACATAAAAAACTGTACAAGCTTTTAATTGCAGGACTAAACTAATTTTAAAGTTAAAGAGATTCTTGATAAAATTAGGCGTTACTTTCCGGAAATCCATTATAATAAAGATATTAATAGTTTCTTTGCAACCATCTGCTCAATAAACTAAAATGATATTATGTCTTACCTAGTTTGAAGAGCACCTCCCGCCCTCCCTCAATTGCGTGCACTAATCCCGTCACCACTAATTCCAACTCCACTACTCCCAACACCAACTATTCTAGCAAAGACTCACCATCGACGATAGTACAACACGTGTTTCGCCTCTACGCGAGGCATCTTAAGGTGATGTAGACTCTACGGTGGCTGACCGCTAAGGGTTAAAGCATTTGCTATTCGATTTGACACCATTGTCAATAAACGTATCAACCTTATAACCAACGGGACTGCAAATATACAGCAGGTGTTAAGCTTGATATACACTTGATAGCACTATTTTATTGCAAAACGAGTTTTATAGGGTCATTTTATTTGTTACAGCTTGACTACGGAAAATCAATTGATGGAATTAGTTGCCGAACCTTCTGGTTAATTTAAAAAGTTTAAATAAGGTTTTACCAGTCATTTATAAAACAAGATACTCAACTGCGAAAAGCAATTCCAGCTAGAGTGCGTCTCGCTGTCACGTTAATATTCTTGGTTTCTGGAGATAATTACGAAAGCTTGCATTTCTCATTCAAAATTTCACCTCAAATAATTTCGGAGACCTACCTAAAACAGTGGCGAAGCTAGAGCTCCAAGCTAGGGCAAGCCCAAGATATAAATTGATAAAAATATAGATTGTTGTTATTAGCAGTTTTATAAAAATACACCAATCTTGATCTGTCTCCACTCGTCAGTTTCATATTCAGTGCTGTCAAGGACGTGTTTAACAAAGCACACATTTGCAATTGCTGATATGTAATACAATCTATCTAGCAGTAGTATGCCTTATACTACTGCTAGATAGATTGTATTACATATCAGCAATTGCATAGCTTCGGTGGCTTTGAAGTAAGCCGTTTGGGTTTGTTTGAGGGAAAGAAAAAGATATTTACATACAATACATGAACAAAAGTAAAACATGAACAAAGTACAAACAAACTATGTACAAAATTAAAAAAAAAACTATTTACATTCTAAATTGAATCGTCTCTCTTTCTTAAGGAAAGATTTAATTACGTCCACGTAAAACGTTGGTGAACGTTTTAATTGTACCAATAACTGTTTTTTACTTGCGAAATTGTTGGCTGAAAGACACTCTTGACCTTGTGTATTATCTCAACAAAGTTTAAATATTTCCTCTCCGAGAGATTTAAACATTGTCACAAGGAACACTATTATATCATCTAAGCTAATCACACAGAGTAAATAAATATTGAAATGTTAAATAAACTTGCAAACGTATTGCCTGCGCGCCTCCGCATTCCTAAAGCCTGGCTTTAACTCTCTATACTAATTGCTATATATAACAATCGTAATTTTATTTTACTATAGAATATTTTGCCATAGGTTAGAAAGAGAGCGATCGTCTTCTCGAAAGCCCCGTAAAAAACTCACGCGAGCGAGAGAGACAACTAATCGCTCTATTAAAACTAATTTTTTATGACAGCAGCAGCATCACTAAGGCAATACGAGGTCATCGGTCGACCTGTGTCGAACAGTGGAGTGCGTCGGAAATTTGAAATAGTTTGAAATAGTTTACGAGTTATTTTATAAGTGCTTGGAATAAGTTGAGCGTGATGTGCTAGGTCTCTCATATAACGCAGTAGAAGGAGGCGGAGACTGGTGCTCGGAATATGTTGAGCGTGATGTGCTAGGTCTCCCATAAACGCAGTAGATGGGGACGGAGATTGGTGTTCGGAATATGCTGAGCGTGATGTGCTAGGTCTCTCATATAACGCAGTAGATGGGGACGGAGATTGGTGTTCGGAATATGTTGAGCGTGATGTGCTAGGTCTCCCATATAACGCAGTAGGAGGCGGAGATTGGTGTTCGGAATATGTTGAGGGTGATGTGCTAGGTCTCTCATATAACGCAGTAGAAGGAGGCGGAGATTGGTGCTCGGAATACGTTGAGCGTGATGTGCTAGGTCTCCCATATAACGCAGTAGATGGGGACGGAGATTGGTGTTCGAAATATGTTGAGCGTGATGTGCTAGGTCTCTCATATAACGCAGTAGAAGGAGGCGGAGATTGGTGCTCGAAATATGTTGAGCGTGATGTGATAGGTCTCCCATATAACGCAGTAGATGGGGACGGAGATTGGTGTTCGGAATATGTTGAGCGTGATGTGCTAGGTCTCCCATATAACGCAGTAGAAGGGGGCGGAGATTGGTGCTTGAAATATGTTGAGCGTGATGTGCTAGGTCTCTCATATAACGCAGTAGATGGGGACTGAGATTGGTATTCGGAATATGTTGAGCGTGATGTGTTAGGTCTCCCATATAACGCAGTAGGAGGCGGAGATTGGTGTTCGGAATATGTTGAGCGTGATGTGCTAGGTCTCTCATATAACGCAGTAGAAGGAGGCGGAGACTGGTGCTCGGAATATATTGAGCGTGACGTGCTAGGTCTCCCATAAACGCAGTAGATGGGGACGGAGATTGGTGTTCGGAATATGCTGAGCGTGATGTGCAAGGTCTCTCATATAACGCAGCAGATGGGGACGGAGATTGGTGTTCGGAATATGTTGAGCGTGATGTGCTAGGTCTCCCATATAACGCAGTAAGAGGCGGAGATTGGTGTTCGGAATATGTTGAGCGTGATGTGCTAGGTCTCTCATATAACGCAGTAGATTGGGACGGAGATTGGTATTCGGAATATGTTGAGCGTGATGTGCTAGGTCTCCCATATAACGCAGTAGAAGGAGGCGGAGATTGGTGCTCGGAATATGTTGAGCGTGATGTGCTAGGTCTCCCATATAACGCAGTAGGAGGCGGAGATTGGTGTTCGGAATATGTTGAGCGTGATGTGCTAGGTCTCCCATACAACGTAGTAGAAGGAGGCGGAGATTGGTGTTCGAATATGTTGAGCGTGATGTGCTAGATCTCCCATATAACGCAGTAGAAGGAGGCGGGGATTAGTGTTCGGAATATGTTGAGCGTGATGTGCTAGGTCTCCCATATAACGCAGTAGAAGGAGTCGGAGGTTGGTGTTCGGAATATGTTGAGCGTGATGTGCTAGGTCTCCCATACAACGTAGTAGAAGGAGGCGGAGATTGGTGTTCGAATATGTTGAGCGTGATGTGCTAGATCTCCCATATAACGCAGTAGAAGGAGGCGGGGATTAGTGTTCGGAATATGTTGAGCGTGATGTGCTAGGTCTCCCATATAACGCAGTAGAAGGAGTCGGAGATTGGTGTTCGGAATATGTTGAGCGTGATGTGCTAGGTCTCCCATATAACGCAGTAGAAGGAGTCGGAGGTTGGTGTTCGGAATATGTTGAGCGTGATGTGCTAGGTCTCCCATATAACGCAGTAGAAGGAGGCGGAGACTGGTGCTCGGAATATATTGAGCGTGACGTGCTAGGTCTCCCATAAACGCAGTAGATGGGGACGGAGATTGGTGCTCGGAATACGTAGAGCGTGATGTGCTAGGTCTCCCATATAACGCAGTAGATGGGGACGGAGATTGGTGTTCGGAATATGTTGAGCGTGATGTGCTAGGTCTCCCATATAACGCAGTAAGAGGCGGAGATTGGTGTTCGGAATATGTTGAGTGTGATGTGCTAGGTCTCTCATATAACGCAGTAGATTGGGACGGAGATTGGTGTTCGGAATATGTTGAGCGTGATGTGCTAGGTCTCCCATACAACGTAGTAGAAGGAGGCGGAGATTGGTGTTCGGAATATGTTGAGCGTGATGTGCTAGATCTCCCATATAACGCAGTAGAAGGAGGCGGGGATTAGTGTTCGGAATATGTTGAGCGTGATGTGGTAGGTCTCCCATATAACGCAGTAGAAGGAGTCGGAGATTGGTGTTCGGAATATGTTGAGCGTGATGTGCTAGGTCTCCCATATAACGCAGTAGAAGGAGTCGGAGGTTGGTGTTCGGAATATGTTGAGCGTGATGTGCTAGGTCTCTCATATAACGCAGTAGAAGGAGTCGGAGATTGGTGTTCGGAATATGTTGAGCGTGATGTGCTAGGTCTCTCATATAACGCAGTAGAAGGAGTCGGAGATTGGTGTTCGGAATATGTTGAGCGTGATGTACTAGGTCTCTCATATAACGCAGTAGAAGGAGTCGGAGATTGGTGTTCCAAATATATTGAGCGTGATGTACTAGGTCTCCCATATAACGCAGTAGAAGGAGTCGGAGATTGGTGTTCGGAATATGTTGAGCGTGATGTGCTAGGTCTCTCATATAACGCAGTAGAAGGAGTAGGAGATTGGTGTTCGGAATATGTTGAGCGTGATGTACTAGGTCTCCCATATAACGCAGTAGGAGTCGGAGATTGGTGTTCCAAATATGTTGAGCGTGATGTACTAGGTCTCCCATATAACGCAGTAGAAGGAGCCGGAGATTGGTGTTCGGAATATGTTGAGCGTGATGTACTAGGTCTCCCATACGCAGTAGATGTAGACTGAGCTGGGCTATTAGAGAATCTGTTGTATCGATTTCGACTATTTTTTGTTGGTGGCGTAGGTATATGCCGTCTATTTCATACATGAAAGGTAATCTGTCATCTTCAGCTAGGATTCTTTCCTATTGATGGTTGACTTTAATGTAGCAAGAGCATCTTGTACAACTTTGCCGACATCTTGAAGTTCAGGTGGATTGTTGCGCCGACGGATTGTTTGGTAATTCGGGTTTTGTACATCTTGTTATCCTTTGACCTCTTTATTGACAACTGATTCTTACTCCTGAAAAAAAAGTAAAAAAAAAGCAATTATAACATTTTTTTTTATTTTACAGTTTCCATCGACAGCAGAAGAATGGCTAGGTATCGAAAATGGTTTTGCTCGTAAATATCCTCGTGCTATTGGATCCATAGACGGAAAGCACATCACTCTAGAATGTCCAAGTAACTCAGGATCAGAGTACTTTAACTATAAAAAACATTCAGCATAGTGTTGCTAGCATTGGTGGACAGCAGTTTCAATTTTATTTTTGCAGATATTGGTTCTCAAGGCGGGATAAGTGATTGCGGAGTGTTTCGGAATAGTTTGCTATGGCAAAAAATTTGCACAAATGATTTAAATATTCCTGAACCAAGCCCTCTCCCAGGCTCGAATGTCGATGTACCGTACGTATTTTTGGGAGACGGTGCCTTTGCACTTACAGATCATGTGGATATGGTTCTTCAAAACGTATATTTAACGAGCACGTGTTGTTGTAGAGAATATATTCGGAATACTTGGGACGAAATATCGTGTGTTTAAAAAACCGTTTGAGCTATGCCCAGAAAAGGTTTCTCTTAAGGTGTGTCCAAATATAGCGCGGCATTCGAGCGCGGCTGCCGTGCGCGGCTAGCCGCGCTATGATTGGACGACTGCCGCGCGCGGCAGCCGCGAGCGGTGTTATCAAGTTAAATGGATAACGAAACAGCAATTCGTCTTATTGAAATATATGGCTCCCATAGTTCATTATGGGATACTAAACGTAACGAATATCATAATAATAACGTGAGAGAAGATATATGGGATGAAATAGCCAAAAAATTCGTACAACCAAAAACAGATTTAAAATTGAAAATTAAAAGTCTTTTGAGTTCTTATAGAACGGAGAGAAACAGAGAAAAAACAATTAATGTCACTGGTTGTGGTAAGTTTAATCTTATTATATTTTATTAACATTACATAATATTAAAGTTAAACCTAATTGCATACTTTCAAAACAGGTAGTTAAGGCGATTAGGTATCCAAAATGCCTCTCTTTGTAAGCTTATTACAAAAAAACCGTAGGCCTGATCTCTTTGGAAAAATAAATACTATAGAATCGATATTTAGCATTAAAAGTATGTTTTTTTTTTTTGGGCTCCCTTACCTTACTTTTTCTATAATAAAAATCATAGTGAAGGCTGTTTCCACCAGTAATCTCGTAATTATGCCTAAACACAGGAAGCGATTTTCATGATTTTTATATCAAATTGTACTTATTAAGAAACCAATCAAGTGTGTTTTTTAGTTTTCGAAAAATCTGAAAAGTACAAAATACTCATATTTTCCGACGCTCGCGTCTGCGTGCGCGAGGGATAGTTAGTTATAAAAGTAGTGCTAGTAAATAAGACACAAGATCAGCTTATGTTTCAGCCTTAAGAAGCAATATTTTAATAATGTTCTTTTTCTGTTGCAGGTAGAAACAAAGCCTATAAATCTAAATGGTTTGCTTATGAAGCATTCAGTTTTTTACATGACAGGAATAACCCTATTGATGCAGTGGTAAGTACTTACCTATTTCTTTTATTTTTTGTCTGTATGGAATTTATAATATTAGTTTAGATGTAACGGCCGTATTATACATACTACATACAGCCCGCATACTACAAAATCTATGAAATCAGATAATGCTAAAAGGCCGTTTATTAATTACTTAAGGATGATTTTGACTATTTTTAACCTAAGGTTATGTAATTATTTAATATCTTTCTTGCCAATCAATTGATCCGTTTCTCATAAAATATCTTGATAAAAAAATACGACTATCAGAAAGAGTGGTAATGCATTGATTTGGAGTAAAGGTAGCTGCTTCATTCGCTGAATTATTTGATTTTTTTAATAAAGAGTCTCTGCGAAGAAAGTTATGCAAGTGAAAAGTAGCTAAAACTATGGTTTTGGCAGATTTTGGGCTTAAAATCATTGTATTTCTCAATACTCTAAAATTTTCCACTACTCGGCGTGCTCTTGATAGTCTATAGTTGAAAATACTTTCTTTTGACCCTTTTGGATGAATTCCTGCAAATGGTGTCATCAAATGTGTGCTTAATGCAAAAGCTTGATCTCCTAATATTACGTATGGTATGTTAGTTATGTAGGGTATTTGTAAAATTTCTGGCGCTGGTACATTAAGTTGATTATTTTCTAGCTTTCGATACAATTCGGAATGTTTATAAACTCCTCCGTCTGAAATACGACCTTGGCTTCCTACGTTAACATACATAAAATTGTAGTTTGAGTCTACTAATGCTAATAGCACGATGCTAAAGAACTTTTTATAATTAAAATATTCAGTGGCGCTACGAAAAGGAACTTGAATAGTTATGTGTTTTCCATCTAACGCACCAATGGTGTGCGGAAAATTCCATTTTTCCTCGAAATCTTTAGATACTGCCTTCCAATCTTGCTCTGATACTGGTAGCTGAAAAATATTTTTTTGTTAATAACGTTTTATAATGGTAGTAGACTTTATTATTTTCTAGGACTTTTAGTACGACAATTATTATTTTGTTATTTTTGTTTCAGGATTGTGGCTCACCCTCAGAGTTGGGTAATACAGAACAAGCTATTCCAGAACAGAGCATTTCAGAACAAGGCATTTCGGAACAAGGAACTTCAGAACAAGAAACTTCGGAACAAGGCACTCGAGACCAAGATACAAATACCAAGAAATCAAAGTCAAGAAAAGAAAAGCCAGCCAAGAAGAGGAAATACCAAGAGTCAGAGTATAATGCTGAAAATCAAATGATAGAAGAAGCATTAGAAGTAATGCGAAAACAAAATGACAGTAGAAGTAATGATCCTTACGTTGCTTTTGGTATGCACATAGCAGCCGAACTAAGAAAATATGATGCCACAATTTTAACCTTTTGAGCGCCACGCCAAAAACTCACTACCGTGTCCTGTACGCCAAAGCGAAAAGTAAACAAAAATACCTACGAAAAAAACAGTGCTGCCAAGAGTTGATATATCGATAACACAAAATAACTTGTTTTTGTTGGTTTTTTATACAATAAATGAGTCTTTATAATCGGGTATGTTTTATTTAATCTTGTGCTGTCTTCCACTCTTTTTATATATGTACTTTGTACATAAATAAAAAACAAACAATAACAATAAAATAGTAGTAAACCACAACACTACTCTCCGTCGTGATGACGTCACTGTCACGACTGGACGACAACGGCGTAGCTGACCTTTCTTTTTGAAACTTTCTTAGAGATGTAGCCGTGTCGCACGTTGTGTATCGATTTCAAAATCGATGTAACCAAAATATACAGACATCTATTCAAAATATTTTATGGCAAGGCGTAGGCCAAGTGAATCACAGAAGAAAAGTCTTACGCTCTTATGATAAAGGGGGGTTTCATATGATACTGATGTTGCTAAATGATTTTGAGATTGAGAAAGAAAATCGCACAACACAAAATGAAAATTGCTCTTCATACCTTAAGTAAAGAAAACACATTTATTATTTGTAATTTTATATTATTAAAATAGAAAAGGTACGTAATTATTCACTAATCAACAACTGTATATAGGTAATTATTCGCACTAGAAAAATCAGTCTTATAATATTAAAATCTTGGTCATGGAATAAAAAAATCAGTACTTATTACAGAAATCAACAAAGGGTACATAATTATTCAACAATTGTAAATAATTATTTGCACTAGGTCTAGTCATAAAATATTAAAATCTTGGTCTTTAACTCAATCAGTACTTAATATAGAAAACAACAATTAAAAATAATTAATAAATTATAGGTAATATTAGTCTTAAAATAATAAAAATCTTATGGAATAATAAAACATAAATGTTTAGCTGGCCAAAGCAAATTTTCTAACGTGGTAGAGCCATGCTGCAGTTATATTACGGGAGTTAGTAGTTGTAGCACGAATGGGTCGGCTCAACCGGGGAAGAACCACGCTCTCACGGAATATCGGCATCAAATAGTAGCTTAATGCTGCTGTGTTTCGTATGGTAAGTGTAGAGAACCGGAGACCCTCTTTACTGGAAACGAGGCATTCCATCTAAGTCCTCACGGGTGAGAGCGCATCTGCATTTTGATTCGTAATCGAGGATAGATGTAAATGTCTATGGGCCACAGCAACCACTTGCCATCAGGTGGACTGTGTGCTCGTTTATTACCCTATGCTATAAAAAAGAAATTAACCGTAAAAAGACTATAAAGTGTATTCCTACCTCATTGAGGTAGAGTTAATCGAAAACGAAAAACTTTGGTTTCACGATAATTTTAAATTTCCGAAAATTCATCATCGTCGACGCTTTCCAAAATCCGAATGAGTTCTGAGGAATCGTTCATGTTGCACTGCACTAATTTTCCCGCTAATCGCTTATGACGTCATCAGTGTGTCGTCTATACTTGACCACGGCGCCCAGTGAACTGATTTTCGATGTCGCGCTAAGGATGCGCCAGAGTTGAGATATTAGATTTATTATGCGAAGATAATTTGTTATTTTTTTTTTTAATTCATGTAGCTAATTATAGTTTTATATTTCTAACCTTTTGTTTTATTTAAATATCAATAATTATAGAAAAAAATAACACGTTTGAGCTTAATTTTGAATAGTTTTCAATAAATTTATGGCTAACGCATTACAACACTAGCGGTCTAACATAGACGACTTTGGCGTGCTGGACATAGTATTTGCTTAGATAAAAATCCATTTTTTTTAGTTCAATGTTTCTTAGTACTTGTGGCTCTAGAAGACTTGTTTTTTATACTCACATGTTGCTGGGTTATTCTTTTTTTGAGGGGTGTAGAATTAAAATACCAGTAATAATTTTCCAATGTCTATATTTCATATTTTTGTGGGCCGGGTTTTTTGTCATCTATAGACGTCGTTGGCGCTCAGGGCACGCGGGTGCTGGTCACGTATAGACGACTTTGGCGCTCAAAAGGTTAACGAGAGTTAAACATTCAATAAATACTATATTATACGAAGCAGATATGGAACGCCTCAATCAATCATCAAGACATGAATATAACGCTGAAAACAAACGAGGATATTTTACTTCACAGTTTACCGATCTCGACTATTGATTCACGATTTGAACACGGATGTAGATTAATATTGTGAATCGGTTGAGAGCAACTGTGATTGATGATTGCGTTGTTTTTTAATTATTACTTAATTATGAACAATCTGTAATTTAAAATATTTCGCTAAATAATAAAAATAATTAAAGTAATAAATTTGTTCATATTTACCTGTACCATGTCCTTAAGTGCTCTCACTATGGCATTGCACACCTCTGGAATTATTTTTGATATTGTTTGCTTTGATACGTGAAATGTGTATTGTAGGCTGGAATAGGTGTCTCCTGTAGCCAAATATCGTAACGTTATTGCAAGTCTCTCCTTCAACGTTATTGCCGTGCGCCAGTGAGTATCCTTTTTTTTTAATAAATGGTTCTACCAATGTATGTATGTGTTCGAATTCTTCCAAAGATAATCTTAAAAACTGTGGCGTTCGGTAGTTGATTTCGTAATAGATCACTTCCAGATTCTTTATCCTCTGTTGATATAGTGGTCGCATCCAACACTGCCTTTTTTTAATACACTTTCTAGTGTTAATTCTTCTACGTAATTTACGAATAATAAGCAGAGCTACAACATACGCGGCCGCTTTCAATATGGTTTGAATACGAAATAAATAGCACGGCGTATCTCGGACATGCCGCGCAGAAGGTCTAAACTAGTCGCGCGGCAAATTTGTATCCCGCGAATGCCGCGCGTAGCTGCCGCGCACCTAGCACGCCGTGTTTGGACAAACCTTTAGACTCAGGATCTGCTTCTCGTAGTGCTCTTTTGCTTCTTGGTCTTGATCCAGTTTCTTCTCGATGTTGACTAGGCGTCGGATTGCTTGGTTGTAATTATTGGGTAGGGTTTCGTCTTCTTTTTTCCACAGGAGTCCTGTTTCATATTGACCGCTTGGCAGTTTCTTTGTAGTCTTCTCAAGGGTTTCTAGTGCTCTTCTGTCGCTGTCATTGGTTGGCGACCGATTTTGAATCCCGAGAGATTCCAACTGAAAGTGTTCTCGGACGATTTCTTCTATGTTTTCTTCATCAGTAATCGCTCTGCCATAGTGAGTGAAGTTTACTGTTGCAGTTGCTCCTGTTTCACATCCGTGTAACACCCACCCTAAGTTTGTGAGGGAGGCTACAGGATCTGACGGTTTGCCCTTCTTTAGCTTTCTTGTTACTATTAGTCCCCAGTTATCTTGGCCTATCAGTAGCTTGGGTCTTTCGGTAACGTAGAGGAGTTGGCTTTCAATCGCTTTTAGATGTACGCAGTTTCTCAAGGTGTCCTTGTTTATACATTGTTCAGACAGCTTCAGGTCGTCGATGGTCCTTGCTACGATAGTTCTCTTTTATCTTCTGTGAGCCCCTTTTATTTTGAACTCGATCTTCTGTGAACTATCTTTTCTCAACACCTTCCCGCTGACTGTTTCGATCGTAAGTTTTTCTTGCTTCCCTTAGACTCCGATCTTCTCAGCGATTGATGCGTCTAAGAGTGTAACCGTTGACCCTTCGTCTAGTAATGCTAACACGCGAATTTGGCCTTTGGGCCATAGAGGTTCACTGGGATCATCTTCAGGTTCTCCTTTGGCGTTGTGAATTAAGGCGACCTTTTCTTCTGACGTGCTACTGGTATCTTTTTACCTCGCTTCTTTTTCTATTGGTGCTGGTGGTTTGTCGGAATGCAAGATGGTATGATGCCATCTTTTACACAGCTTGCAGACTGGGGCTTTACAGTTGATTCTTGAGTGCTTAAATCGGAGGCACTTGAAGCATATCTTTGCCTTCTTGGTCATATCCCATTTTCCATTCAGGTTAGCTACTTTGAACTTCTTACATTCTAGTGCAAAGTGTTCTTCTTCACAGAAAGAACATGACTTCTTATATTTTTCTTTTGACGCTTCTTGTACCAAATGAACGGGTATTCTTATTCCTCTCTTTTGCTCTGAGGATGCTTCAGGCGGAGCGAAGTCTCCTCACATGTCGGCTCCTGTTTCTAGGAACGCTTCGACGAGTAATAGCTCCTGAATTTCTTCATCTCTTCTGCTTCTGTGGTAAGCGAACCAACGAAACTTCATTGATGTCGGCATCTTGTCCACTATAACTCTCAGTGTTTCAGGGGAACTGAGATACTGTGGTTTCTTCAGGGCTTTGATTGTCTCGACGGCGTTATTCACTTTGCTTGCAAATACGCATATGTCGCTTGGATTCTCGCCGACTTTTGGAAGGTTCTTCATTTGCTCTAGTTCTGCTAATGCCAGCGCTCCAGGTCTTCCGAATCTCGCTTCTAGTCCCTAGATTACTTCGCGTGGGTCTTCGGCGGTGAACAGCAGGCTTTGGACAGCTTCTCTAGCTTTTCCTTGGATCGCTATTCTAAGGCGCGCTAGGTTCTGATTGTTACTGAAAGAAGCGGCCATATCCTCGTATGATCTCTTGAATGCCAACCATTTTTCACAGGTTCCGTTAAAGTGAGGGAGTTCGAGGTGCTTCGGTGAAACAGCGTCACGTGACTTCTCAGATAACTTAAGTATGACTGAAGCCAGTTCCTGGATGTCACTCTTCTTTTCTTCTACCTCTATCGGTTTGTGGTATGTCTCCGGTCTGGATGAACCACCGCTCGACTTCTCGAGTTCGTTCGAACAGTTCTTCTCCGGCACCATCTTCTTCTTCTGACTCCGCGGTGAGAAGTTCTAGTTTCGCTTGAGCAACTTTTGATGACCGAGCTTCTGCCAGTTCTAGTTCCCTTAATGCCATTGTCATTTTTTGCTTGCGCTTCTGCTCTTTTCCTATGCGACGAGCGAATAGAATGTGTGTCTAGATCGCGGGT